GATCACAGATCTGTTCTGCTGGTGCTGCTGTTTAAAATGCCCCTCAGCAGTGCTGTTACTGAGTCCATACTTAGCAAGTGAAAGCCATGCTCATGAGAGCCGCCTCTCATCAGCCCTCCATGTGCAGATCCCAGAACCTTCCTGCCTCGAGCAGCAAGTGCAGCCTGCCTTGGGGATCCACAGAAATTGCACTGCCACAGCAGCCTGGCTCTTGGCAAGAAAGGGCCTTTGTCTTAGAGGTTATGCTTTCTCTTATCTGTTACCTCAAAATGGAATTCTGATCCCACCTACCAAAGCATCATTGGACGATTCTCTCCCTGTAGATAGACCCAGAGCAAGTGTTGGTCTGATGTCAGCATTTCCTTCAGCCTTGGTTCATTCTGCTCCTCCCAGTCATCTGTTAGGCTGTTAGAAGTAGGGCAAAGTGCTCAACAGTAAAGCGCTGCTGCAGAGTAGACCGCAGATGGCGAGTTCTCTTCTGCCCTGTTCTCTTGCCTTTTGACATCAGGTGTTTTTCTGGAACTTGAATAGATAACAGTGAACTTGACTTTAAAGTCAGAGCAATCACTGATCCAGGCCATGTGGAGAATGGGGGGGGGGGGGGGGGCGGTGCACCAACTCAGCCACCAGGAAGGTGCTCCAGACATTTGGATCAAAAATTCCCCAGGGTCTGCAGAAATGTTTGGATCTGCCACAAACCTATGTGTCTTAGTAGGAGAGAAGCAATGCATCTTATTGTAGCCCTTTGAGGACACTGAGGTCGAAAACCATTTAGACTTTATCAAGCTTATGGCATTTATCTGTTGTTACAGAAAAATTTGGTATCATATGAATCCGTGGACCCTTAGGCCTCTTGCCATTGTCCAGAACCCATAGGCTGGAACCTTATTTTCCCAGATTGTCTGTTTCTAAAAGTCTTTTAAAATGTTAGGTGCCTCCTTGTGCCTATCCCTTCCAGTAGATGCCAGTTCCAGGAACTAAGTGCCTGAGATAGATTTGTAATGAACTGTAAAACGAGGGAAAAGCTGGGTCCTAAATGCCTTTTGGGGTACAGGTACAAGAGATCACTTAGGATTTCAGTACTAATCACAATGAATTTTAATGCCTGACAAATAAATTGCTGTTTATAAAAACGTCTACTTGGTGTGTCAGGTAACGGTGTACCCTACTAACACAAGCCAGTCCTTCAGATCTTACGCTCATTGCCTTCCTCACTGATGGGAACTTCAGCGATCTTATGTGGTCACAACAAACCTCTTGCATAATGCTTGGCCTGACTTCCAAGAAAGCTAATGTTTTGCTGAAGCAAATGAAGTAATTTAATAAGTGCTTGAAAACCTTGCCCTGATTTTATGTGGGAGGGCAGCTTAATCTGTTTTCTTACTGTAGTTCTGATGGTGTTTTTGATGGATATCAAGAGAAAAGAAAGCTAACTCATTTTGAGTCTCCGTCTATGTGCTGTGTGGTTTACATAGCCTTCTCCCTTCAAATGCAAAAGACTGCTGTTGCTTTTAAAGTGCATTTTGTGAATAGAGCAGATGCAGTGAGTCCACTCTGTAACATTTCTAAGATTTCCCACACTTATTTCTTAGACTGGAAAATATGTATGTGTGTACACATGTGCATGCACACACCCCAAGCTCTTGGAGGTTACTCTCTACTGTATCTCTCAGCCAGTCTCTAAGGACATTTGTGGGGCACCTGCCTGAATGGGCATGGCAATTGGAAAAGAAACAATTTTCTTCATAGAGAAATAACTCACTAAGGGTTAGCTCTGATATGCACTGAAACATCTCACAAAATACTGCTAAGAGCATTGACTTCCACTCTAATAGTTAAGAATTGCTTATTAAATGAGACTTGAGGCTGAGCCTAAGACCTGAGTACCATCTTATTAGAGAAGCTGTTTTTTTTGTTTGTTTGTTTGTTTGTTTTGTTTTGAGACAGGCTTTGGCTGTGTAGCTTTGGCTGTCCTGGAACTCACTCTGATGACCAGGCAGCCTTCAAACTCAAGAGATTCACCTGCTTCTGCCTCCAGAGTATTGTATGCATCACCACCGCCCAGCTGTTGAGAATCTGGCTTCTTAATGGCCTGCCCATGCTTCTGTAGGGTTAAAGGACTCACTCATACCCTGAACACAGCATGAAGCCAGGAATTTAAGAATGCTGGGCACTGTAGCATGAATCTTAGAGAGTCTTATTAATAAAATCAAACCTGAGGCCAGTTATTGGGGTGAACACTGGAAGATCAGAGAGACAGAACAAGCCACAGCTACCTCACCTTGCCAATTTCTCAGCTGATCCTGTTTCCTCAGACTGGAAGCCTCTGTGTCCTCATCCAGAATGAATCTCAGCTGAACTGTGCTACTTGAAAGCCTGAATGCTTAACCAGCCAAATGCTTCTAGTTTCTGCTTCTACAACCACTCCCTGGGATTAAAGGCTTGCTTTCTGGGATTAAAGGCATGTGTCACCATGCCTGGCCGTTTCCAATGTGGCCTTGAACGCACAGAGATCCAGAGGGATTTCTACCTCTGGAGTGCTAGGATTAAAGGTGTGAGTGCCACCATTTTCTAGCCTTTGTATCTAGTGGCTGTTCTGTCTCTGACCTCAGGTAAGTTTAGGGTGTACAATATTTTGGGGAATACAATACCACCACAAGGTACTGTGTAGTCAGGCCTTTATATACATCTATATGACTCCAGGGTAGTATTTTGCTATCTGACATTTTATGCCAAAGGAAATTTTTAAAGCTAAGTCCTAAATGGTAAAGAGCTGTCCAGGGAAAACACAAGAAAGGGCATTTATCCCAAGGATAAGAGGCGATGTGCAGGTGATAAGGAGAACATATCTCTTTAATTGTGGATATGTGGGATGGCCAACCCCCATCTTGGGAGAGACATCCTATTTCAGAGTGGAAAACTATCGATCTCTTCCCGGACTGGGCAATGGGCTCAGCCAGTAGTGAGTGAAGTATAAAGGAGTGATTTGCAGGTCTTTTTAGACTACATCAAACTGTTGAGAGCCCAAGAAGCATAAAGTGCTGGGCAGTGGTTTATCACACAGCTGGGTTGTTTGGATGCTATCCTTTTGCAAACAAGGAATAGCTGGTGATGTTGAAGAGCCAGTACCAGGGTGTACCCCAGAAATGCTAGCAGCTACATGAAACAAAGTGTGTGTGGGGGGCAACTGTGGTGGGATGAACTTGAGACCATGGTACTTGACTGCACATAGATGGGAATCAGAGTTTCAGAGCTGTTTCCCTGGGCTCAGAAAGGAAAGACCAAAGGAACAGTGCCAAGCATTTGGTAGATGCCAAGTGTTACTTCAGATGTCCAGAAGGCAGACAGAACCAGAGACAGCCCCCAACAGGTGAAGAGGCAAGAACACACTTGACTATTTCCAGTGTTTGGGGAACAAACAACAAAGATGTGAGCAGAACAATGGTAATTTATTCCTCTTTATAAAGAAGTACAAACCATTCTTTAAGTTTTAATGGCTGGAGATGCACAAGTTTTCCCATGGAGACCGGTTATGAACTTGTGGCCACCCCTACTGCTCTGCTGTGGTTGTGGGAAAATGGCCCTGGAGTAAAGGAACTAGCCCAGGGTGCAAACACCATTTGCCGACTACTGTTCCCAGTGCAATTCAGAAGAATATCACCAAAGTAACCATCTGGCATCACACATCAGCGCCTAAGTTCAGACTCCTTGTCACCTATCTGCCATGGGCACACACTAAGACTGGGAGCTCTAAAATGCTGTAGTTACTGTGTGTGCCCATGGGCCCTCCTGAGCATGTGTCCAAGGTGCTTTCTCCCCTAGCTGAACTCCATGAACAAGCACAAGCTACACCCACATACTCTCTCACAGGCCTTCAGGATGGACACAGGGAACAGCATATACTGAAATGTGAAAGAGTGACTTGGCCATAGCTGAATCCCCCAACTGGCCTAACTACTGTAACTCCAATGCATGTCTGAAGTACCAGTCTGTGGCTCTGGGCAGAGCAATTCCAGAAATGGGACAGACATGTTATTTTCATATTGGTGCTACTGAAACTTGGATTTATGTGACATTTTGACACTTTTCCTTTGCATTTTCAGGGGAGCCTTGGAAGCTTATGTTCAATCAGTGAGAAGCAGAGAAGGCAAAGAATTTGCACCAGTTTATCCCATTATGGTCCAGCTGCTTCAAAAGGCTATGTCTACTCTTCAGTGACATGCAGTCTCCACACACAAACCCATCTAAACACGGCAACTAGCAACTAAAGATAATTGATTTTCTGTATTTCCTATTGATCTTTCCTTGTTACCTCCAGTACTTCTAACTTTACAATGTCAAAATAGATCACAAGCTTTAAATTGCATACACCTGATTTTTTTTTCCTCTAAAGATACCCGTTTTTTCCTTTTTTAGATTTATGAACAAGGCAAAATTATTAATTAGGTGGGGTTTTTTGTGCCATCATGCTGTTGATTCCCTGCACTTGCATTGCTTCTAAAGGGACAAGCTCATTCACCCTGCTTTCTTTCCCCAACCACGTGGTTTTCAAATATCACTCTTGATCAACACTGGGGAGTCCCCGAGTGCACACCTGTCAGAGGACTATCCTGAAAGTGGTACTGATGTGCAGTCAAGACAAGTGATTGGCAGAACCAAGCTGAGACAGATGCACGCTCAGTGTTCTTACGACATGTTGCTACATCTTTAAATGAAGCCAGGGTTTCCTTTATACTTTGTCATTTTATTAAAAACAGTCACTTGGGCTTTGGAACAAAGACAAGTTAAAAAATAAAAATTTCTACAAAGGCTCTCTATAAATACAAGTCCTTATTTTTCTATTGTCTTTACTCCATTATTAACATTCTTTAATTTTTAAAATCCTACCAGGAACTTAGTTATAACACCAGAATTCATTTTATCGAGAATAAAATGAATTTTCCATCTGCTGGTCCAATTGTTCTGATAGTTAGTTATACATAAATTCAGTCAATCAGAAATCAAAGAGTTCTTTCATTTTATTTCAAATAATATACAAGAATATAGTGTGCAAAATTGAGGGGCAACATGTTGAAGAAGTGTAATGAACTGAAATCAATTTTACAGCTGTGATTCCTAACCAAAAATACCACTTGGTAAGTAACATGAGAAGCCGTGATTGTAGCTCAGAGCAGCAGCAGCTGTCCTGCCACAGCCCTTGCTCTAGTTTAAAAGCTGAGGGAAGTAAAGTGCAAGGGTCGCACTTCAGTAAGTGCAAAGTCGGCCCCACCATGGAGAACGGTGACAGACAGACATGTCAGATGTGTGGCTGAGGAGAGAGAACACGTTAAAATACAATGGTGTCGACTGTCAACAGCACCATTACAGTGACTATCCCAATGCTATTAACCAACTGCACCTCCGTCAGGTTTGGCCCCCACTGGAAATAATGGAGGAGTGCTGCCCCCTGGTGCACCCACTCAGCACATGCCCGTGGTATCCGAAGCAGGTGGCTCTTTTAGCTTGGACAATGACACCATCTACCTGCCATGTTACATTGTCTCTTGGCACTGGCCAGACTAGAAGCGACTGTGTTTGGCACAGATGCTGGGCCATGTGATGGCTACTCATGAAAAGGCCAGCTTCTGCTTCATTCCTGATATCGTGGGTACAATACAGATTAATAAGCAGTAAGGAGCTGATGTATAAACAGCAGTTACATTATTTTTTAATTCCCCTTCGTACAATTTAAAATAAAACATGTATACACATCTTTCTTTCTACTGTACTTTAGCACCACAGGATATCAATTTTCAAGCCTATATTACCTGATAGACGTATATGAAGTTTGGAAGGAAAATAAGGCAATTTGGTTTACAATGTTGATAGTTGTAGCTTACTTAATGCTCTAATGGAGAAAGCAAATCCTCACTCATTAAATCATTTCAGGACTCAATGCTATCAGTATCTTATGGTCACTCAAATTCAGGACAAACGGTGAGACCAAGGTCTTCCAGGCTTTTCCATCCAGAGTCAGTACTTAGGCAGATACAGATTTAAAAATGCAAGCATCAGGTTCAATGTTGTTGAGAGCCCTGTGGAAATAAAACAGTGAATGCTTACAAAACAACAAATGCTAACCCTGTAGGGTAAGCTCAGATAGTCATAAAATTTATGGTAAAGATTCAAGTTTCCTCATGGCTCATATATCTGAAAAATTTATACAAATTTGAGAGCAGCATGCACAGAAAAGTGAAAACAGATCATGTCCCATCTGAAGTTCCAATACAATAGAGAATTTGCAGGAAGTGGATATATGACTCAGTTGGTAGAGGCCTTCCCTACCAAGCACAAAGTCTTGGGTTCAAAGCCCAGCACTACATAAACCTGTGCACCCAAAGCAGAAGGCGGCAGACCAACACTTGAGCTTGTCCTGTGACTTCACTATGCATGGCTGAACTCACACAAACATGTACACACACAACCTGGGTGTGTGTTGTGTGCCTGTAATCCCTCAATTAAGGGGTTAGAAGCAGGGGGATTACAAGTTGCAGATCATTCTTGGGTACAAAAGCAAGTTTGAGGCCAGCCCAGGCTACATGAAACCTCTCCCTCTCCCCCTCCCCCCCCCCGCGTCCCCCCCCCCACAAACACACACCAAAAAAGCACAAAGCAAACTTCTACATTATAGTTCAACTACTTTTGGCAGCTGACTACTACTTTAGAATAAATCTTTGAGCCATTTACTCTTACAAATGAACAGGACTAAATTATAACACCTTCACCAAAGCCTCTTCTGTTAACTACTCACATCATCTCACTAAAACATGAGCTCATTCTATTCTATCATATGCACTTTTTTGGTAAATAACCTAAAAACTAAACATAAAGGATGCCAATCAGCAGTTCTACTAATGGAGTCTATCAACCACGATAGCACTGTGAAACTTATTTTCCACCATTCTTATTCCTTCAGATTCCTAATCTACCATTTTTTTGCCAATGGCAGAAATCTGCATGGATGTTACTACTTACTGAATGAGTCTGAGGGAAGACACCAAGAACTAGAGAAATTTTCTACTGTAATATTTATGATCGAGTTAATAGTCCTCAGTTTTTAATTGTTTATTTATTTTTGATTTTTGAGACAGGGTTTGCTGTGTATCTGTGGCTGTCCTGGAACTCGCTCTGTAGACCAGGCTGGCCTCGAAGTCACAGAGATCTACCTGCCTCTGCCTCCCAAGTGCTGGGATTAAAGGCATGTGCCACCACTGCCCAGCTTGGTGTCCATCTTTTAACCAAATTGGAAATACTATATTCCAAAACCATCTTCTACCTCAGCACTTAGGACATTCTTAAGCTGGCTTTAGAGATTTCTGCTTGCCCTAAGTGGTTCTTGATGATGATTAAAAAAAGGGAAAAAGGCAGACTTTGCTGCTAAGTTCTGCTGCTAAGGTTTGCAGTATAATAATGGTGAGGTATCTTTAAAGGCTCTGACGTGCCAACACGCACACAGGCATACAGGGCCACAGCACCATGTAAAAGCACTATTGCTAACATACTGAATTGGTTCTTTTTCTTTTCCAACAGTCAGGATTTAAACGCTTCTGTTCTTCAGCCAAAGCCTTTGCTTCTAATGTGTACATCCTCCTTTCCTCGTTCTTCATTTTTTTCCACCTGTCACCAAGGATCACACTAATGGCTCTGCAAAATAAATATTAACAACTTTTCATAGACGTGTACCAACTGCTGCTACTTCAGCCCAAAATGCAAAAACCATAGAGAAGGACTATCACAGTCATTTCAGCAAAGCCTGTCACATTTATCAGAATCTTGGGTGTATAGTGCCAGTATTAATATTTGTTCCAAGACATTCAAAATGGCTAAAAACTGGATATTTCCCAAGAAAAGTTCAGTATCGGCAGCATAAGGCAGTCAACTTGTATTAAGAACTTATTTTGTGTGCATAGCTACTCAAACTATTATGGTTATGATAAAAGCTTTTTCTCCACACAAATGCAAGCCAAGTGAGAAAGACTTCTTTGCTTCAGTTTATGTCTAATGATAAAAAAGTACACTAGATCAGATCTGTACTTAGCACATGAGACACTGGAGTAAATTCAAAACAGAAGAGGGAGCCAAGCTGACATTTTCCTATTTTTTCCTAGTCATTCTGATACCAAAGCTATTAAAGTAATCTCACCCAGAATATACAGCTATCATCACTTCCTTCTATGAATAACCTTTAGCCGTTTCATGGCACTCACACAAGAGAATCCTGGGGTAACTGCAGTCTGTAAACAATCTCTGTACTGACTAAGATGCTACATTGATGTTTCAGGAAGATGGTAAGCATAGGAGCCTCCTACTGAAATACACAGTGGGTTTATTTGTCTTGTCAAATCTAGTGTGTGAGAGCCACTGAGCATGTTTTATTTTATTTAAAACCGACTTATATGAAATTGGCACATACCCATCTCTGTCTCCCAAAGTTAAGATGTTCTGGGGTGTTAGTTTCCCCTTAAGTTAAAACATGATGGGTAGTGTGATGCACACAGTGCTCAACACCAGAATCCCCCCTCCTTTCACAATTTCTCAGCCCGATTAATGTCTATAACAACTGGCTAAGTCTCTCTCTACTATTTATTTTAGTCTACATTCTGCCCCTAAGTAAGAACTTCTTTATTCAACGGAATAAAGATCTACCTCTATAGAAAAAGAAAAAAATCAAAAATTTTTTTTCAGTCATCCTTTCATGTTAGATGACTACTGATCTATCAATCACAAGGTAACAATACTGAAATGCAAAGCAAAGCAAGAGTTATGAGCCATATGGGAGATATCTTTAATAAGGAGATCCTAAAATAGAAAAAAAAATGAAAATAGACATCTACTCTTAGGCGAGTCCTTTCCTCCAGAATTAAAAGGACGGTCAGCACTCGCTGTTAGGCGTGTTAATACAGTACAAGGACATAGGTACTGTTTCTAATAAGCAAGCAGCAGACAGGTGCAAAAAGAGCAATACACCCTGCACTTGTCAGGAAGTCTCCCGCATGGCCATCACAGAAAAGGGGAGAGGGGAGGTGGGCTAAGGTATTCTGAAAATGCTTTTCAAATTTAGAAGTATGTTTTCTGCTAAACTATTACATCCTCCTGACCAGAGACTATTTCCAACATGAATTAAAAAAAAAAAAATTACAGAGTCTCACTATTTAGCCCTGGCTGCCCTCAATTCCAATTCTAAAGAAATAACCCAGTACTAGGACAAGGCCATTTTGTACAAACACATCAAGTCTGATGCAGTTGGGATGTAAAGCGTCTTTCTAAAATGTAGGCAGTGTTTACAATTAAGTGCATTGAGACATTACAATCTGAATTAAAGTTATAGTCTTTTGATTTATGATCCCAAAGACAAAGGAAGTAATACTTTTGACTCTCAGAGAAATAGGAAGATTGCAAGAGGTACCTTTAGCATGTGAGTGCGAGACTGATGAGCTGGATGGATAGCATAATGCTGAGACAGGTGAGGCAAGAGCAGACAGGACTCAAGTTCCATTGGCTGAGTTTTGACAAATCTCAGAGCTTGTTTATATAAACTGTTAATGCTTCATGTCCCACAGTGAGACTCAGGTTATAGGAAACCTTCCAAATCTGACACAAGGAAGTACTATACTAGTCTTTTCTAAAAAAACATCAACCATCAGTTGTTAGAACTGTTCATGTTCTAACAGGTACATTAAACTTACTGTCAAAGGGAGACCCTTCTCAGGAAGGTAGTCTGTATAACCTACGTATTATAAAAACAATGTATCTAAAGCCAACCTAAGAAAATGGAAAGAAGTCAACAAGAGCTCGTGAGTTTATTTTCGCTGCCTCAGTTACTGTGAACTGCACTGACACGTCAGTAATTGTACTTACATTATTACTATTTACCTGTTATCTTTCCCTGGATACATCTGAGTATATTCAACTCTGTATTTTTTGGCAAAAAGCATGAAGGCATTCATTGGTCTTTTGCACTTATTAGGAGAAGTGGCACTCACAGTCCCTGAGCTGTGGCTTTTGACAGCTTTAGCATACAGAGAATCAGAGGAGAGCTGTGATGGCCCAGGTGAACCACAGCTTTTACTGAATTCAGAGCCGGCAAACTCTTGAGCGCTACCAGGTCCTCCACAAGACAAAGACGCACGGCGCTGGCGAGCCATACTACTCAAAACATAAACTGCAGAAGAGTCCATAGGTGTGAAGTCATAGCTAGAAAATGAACAAAAACAGTTCAAATTAAACAGAGTATATAGTACCAAAACACAAATTTTAAAAACCTACCATGTGAAAATTTCACTGCACTACTTTACCGGCACAACTTCTGCCACTGATGCTTATAAGGAAAGTCTCATGGATGCAACTGAAAACTTTTAAAAGCCAACCTCTAAAGCACCAGGAAAGTTATAACCAGCATGTCCTTCACAGAAGGTAACTCCTCCAGATCCCATACCTGTCCTTCTTTATTCTTCTAGATTATTTTTAACAAACGAATTTGTTAATAATGAATTTGATAATTTCATTTCTTGCCTAGAAGATTCTGGACCTAGGAAACTAAACCGGAGTAGGCAGCATGCCAGGCCTGAGAGCTAACTACTTTGAAAGACAAAAGCCAGCTTGAGAAGGGTAGCCATTCAGCCCAGAACTCACAGCATTTAGAAGGCTCAGGCAGATGAGTCTCTGTGTGGAGGCAAGCCTGAGCAAAACCGTGGGTTCAAGGCCAACCTGGGCTGAGACCCTGTCTCCAAAAAGCTATTAAATGTGGCTAACTTAAAATACACTGCAATTTGAGAATTTGCATAGGTAGAAAAAGTTCTAACATATACAGGTCCACCTATATATTACTAGTATCTTAAACTATCCTTATCAGTAAAGAACACAATTTGTTATGTAAATTCAATCTGCATAACCACCCAAACAAACTATCCACAGTCTCAGTCTTCAACAAGCCTGGGGGTAGTGGAATCCATTGCCCCCTTTCATATGAAGAAAGAGGCTAGTCAAAAGATACAAAGTGTCATTCACCCTAGGACAGTGCTAGGATGCAAAGCCCAGACTTCTTCACCCACATTCCAGTATCTTCATACTACCAATGGCCAAATTCAAGAGTAATCAAGCAAGCACCATATTAATTAAAATATTAGATGAAAATCAGAGCTAATGTAGACCACAGCCTAAAGATGAACCCCAAAAGGACCCTCAAACTCTGTGAACTCTTGTTTTCTTCTCAGCACAAAACCTTCTATTTGGCTTTTATTTTGAGTTTTCTCTAAAACAGAAATTCTGGGTACTATATCAAAGTAGAAATAATGTCAAACAGGAGATCAGAAAATCTAAAAACAGGAAAGTGCTGAATGAGCAAAGCTAGAACTGTCCTAAGGCTTTGTAAAAAATCTTAAGCCCCTACCAAATGAAGTTTAGAAAACTATCAAGCACAGCCACTGTGGAAGAATGTGATGCATAACTGTTTACGTCTACTGAAGAAAGTAATTACCATCTAAAGTCCCAATAGAGTAAGCTAGTTACTACAATTTGAAAACGCCACCATCTAGTGGCAGAAATCTGTCATCTACTTTCTTTGTGGATACAACTTAAGTGGGTTTCACTATTCAGTAACAGTAGCTAGGATTTTGACAGCTAAAGCAATGGCAGTATCTTCTTAGATAGCTTAGTTTTACTACCCCCTCTTTGTAAGTAAGCATCTGTTCCTACCATGGAAACACCTTTTATCTTGGTACATGTTATTCTTCAAACACCTTCATGTTTCATTACTCTCTTCTTTTAAAGGTTTATTTTATTACTTTTAACTGTGTGCAGATGCCTATGGAGGTCAGAGGCAATCTGGGGCTGAAGTTACAGACAGTTGTGAGCCACCTGATGTGGGTACTTGGAACAGAACTTGAGTCCTCTGGAAGTGCTCTTAACCACTGATCCACCTCTCTACCCCCTCAGTCATTACTCTTAAAGGCAAACACTACAATAATGTAGAGCCTGTTAATCAAGCTCATTTAGTCTTTTCTAATTAATCAGTATTTAAATCACTATCTTTGTTTTATGGTTTTAAAAAAAAACACTACAGCAAAGTTAATTAACTTAACCTAAGCTTCCACAACCAGCTTAGTGAACAATCAGGATGTGAAGGCAGGCAGTCCAGCTCTGGAGTCATGCTTCCACCAGACCCAAGGCCTGTCAGCACTAGCACACTCCATACCTCCCAAACCACTTCCTTCAGAAGACTGGAAGCAAAGAGGCAATATCAACAGTATTTAAAGTGCACTCTAAATTAATTAGAGTATGTGATGATACACAATGTTAACAGGGTTCAAATCTCGCCTCTGCCACTTACTAGTAATGTGACCTTGGAAAAATTAACTACCTACTGTAGAAGAGGAGGAACTGCTGTCACATTACAGTCACTCAACAGTAAATGGGACTAATGGCTAAGGTCTTCCAGATGGACTCAACTGCTCCCACTAAGGAACAGCAACACTAAGAGTGAGAAATTAAAACTTGCTATCTTAGAAAAACAAGACTTGGGCAGCTAAATTTCCCTTTTTGCTTTAAAAAAAAAATGAAGTTTTATACCATACAATGCCTGGTGTATTAAAAATGAACCTAAGTTATAAAGCATAAAACTAAGCAGTGAACTCCTAATCTAAAGGGATTCTAATACTACTAACACAGCACATTTGTTACCCCAGAGAATCACCTTTAGGTTTTAATAACGTAACAGTGGGGTTTTATTGTAAAAACACACTATTGGCCTGTCTACTATACTTTCAAAAATCTATCCACAGCACTGGTCCTTGACTGGCATCTAGAACTTGAATTTCATTCCAACAACTTGGAAGAGAACCTACCTGGCCCTGAACTATGAGCACTAGTGTTTAGAAACTGGAATTTTGGTACATGTCAAGAAGAGAATCTTATTTGGCCAGGCTCTCAATAAAAACCCTATGTCTTGAAAGTCTAACAAACTTCTCTGGCAGAAACATAAGCCTGGCTTTTTACCTTTGCTGGGAGGTTCCCTCTCCTGACTGTGCTCTGGATCCTTTTGCATGAACACAAGCGCATTTGTGTCTCACGAAGTCTTCCTAGTACATCACTGAATGCAGGACAGTCCCAGGGAACACCTGACACCAGTATTTAATAAAACCTAAGTTTGTTAGGAGCACTACATATATATATATATATATATATATATATATATATATATATATATATATATATATATATATTTCTCAGATTAATTTCTACTTTAAAGTTATTCCTTTTTGTTTTTTGAGACAGGGTTTCTATGTGTAACCACCCTGGCTATCCTGGAACTCAATCTGTAGACCAGGCTGGCCTGGAACTCACAGAGATCTGACTACCTCTGCCTCACAAGTGCTGGGATTAAAGGTGTGTGCCACTACCACCCAGCTAAAAGTTATTTCCTAAATTGATCCAATTCATTAAAATGTGTAGTTAAGGTTCATTCTGATAAGAATTCCACTGTTTGTTTATATCACAATTAGCAATACTGACATAGCCTTTTTGCTGCTGTGAACAATTCAGTTACAAAGTCATTGACATGACTTTATACTCATCTACAAGAATTGACTTCTTGAGTATGAAAGAGTCTTTCCCAATTGTTCTCTAGCCTATTCCGTAAGGTGGTATCCCTCACTTGAACCCAGGGCTCCCAGGCTGACTAGCTAACCAGCTGTCCCCAGTGCTAGAATTACAGGTAGGCCACTCTCCCCCAGCAGTTAAAGGGCTCTGGGAATGGACATGCCTGTATAGCAAGTGGTTTTAACTGTTGAGCCTTTCCCCCAGCCCTTTTTAAATTCTTAAAACCTTTAAAACTTAGCTTCAATTTTGACTCAGCAATCACTAGAGAACAAACTTTAACATGAAAGAAATGCACTATTACCTTTTAAATGTATCAAAAACACCTGAATCATCAAAATTAATGGCATCAGGGTGTCCAGGAGGTAGACATACGTCACCAATATGAATTTCACAACATGGAATTCCATGCTGTACCACAGTCAAGCTTGGATAAAATGATGACCAACCTAAAGTTAAACAATAGGTAAAGAGTGAGGAATGACAAAAAAGCACCCTAATTAGAACACGTTAGAAAGTACAGGTCCTACTAAGTCTAACGCATTGAGTATGATTTTAAAATAAACAATCACTAGATTAAGTATTTTGTTTTATCTATGTAAAAGCCCCCAAAACTAGTTTGATCCAGTGTTTTGTTTATAAATCTCTATCAGTCAGCACTTCTATCCATCTGCAAAAAAGAGTTAAGGGATAAATAATGAAACTATGTAGTTGCCTATGAATTACTAAATTATGCTTAACATGACACTTTTGTAGTAAAGCTCTAAAGATTGCTGGGCAGCGGTGGTGCACGCCTTTAATTCCAGCACTCGGGAGGCAGAGGCAGGTGGATCTCTGTGAGTTCAAGGCCGGCCTGGTCTACAAAGCAAGTCCCAGGACATCTAGAACTGTTACACAGAGAAACCCTATCTCGAAAAATCATGAGGCAAAAAGAAAAGCTATAAAGATTAACTCTCGCTATAGCCTACAACTACAAACAAAAGCATGATTACTGAGGACGCCACTCCCCACATTATACCAAACTAAGAGCTTTCAGTATGAATGAAATTTCTCATATACATAGGGACATTTTATCTGATTATGACCAAGACGTTTAAACATTATTAAATATAATTAGAAACATTTCCTTTGTAGTTTTATTTGGTTTGAAATCAATTTTCAATTTTTTTCTTAATCATCAAAGCCACAAAACAGATGTAAAATAAACTCAGGGCTAAAGATGGCTCAGCAGTTAAAAGAGTACTGGCTGCTCTTCCAGAGATCTGGGGTTCAACTGGCAGCTCAGAGCCATCTGTAACTCTAGTCCGAGGGGATCTGATATCCATGGAGGGAAAACACGCACACACATGAAAATAATTGTAAAGTTTGTAAATTCAACTGGAACCCTACCTTTATTTTTAACATAGAATGGGTGGTCCAGCTTACACTCCACAGTAAGCAAGCCATCTTCTACTGTACCAGGATCAAATGTCAACTTCAGCACAGACTCACCAAATGATACACTCTCTTCATGGGATAACAACTTTAGACCATCAGAACCATAGCCCTGAAAGCATATAAACATATGCATAGGCTAAATGAATGTTAAATGTTCAATACACAGTGAATTTCCCAAAGTATGTCATGACTACAGGTAAAACTCAGTATCTCTCAGCTTCCAAGTGCTTTCAAACCTAGTAGCAAAGAAACACATATATAAATGGCCACAGGATATATGGCAGATTGGAATATGCATTTCAATCCAAATATAAATAATATGATGAAGTTTAATAAACAAAGACACTATTCTGAGATATATTAAGGAAGACTTTCAATTTCATCTGAAGTGAAATGGAAAGGAGACCAAGAACAGTTTGCATTTAACTTCTTTGAGTAAGTATTTGCTAAAAAAAAAAAAAAAGGAAAAAAATAAAAGGTAAGTTCAAACTTAGGCAAATAAGACTAGAAACTAGCCAGTTACAGAGTAAGATAGGCAAGGTCATTAAATGTCCCTTATGAGGTGTTGGGAAGTCAATGAAGCAGTTTGATTAATGCGGTTGTCAATTTTAAGATGATGAGGATGATGCAGAAGGAGAATCTGATAATTACTTTTTAAAGGTGTATTTGTGTATGTACATGTACTAGTCTCTGCAAAAGCAGCAGTACTCTAAGCTATCCTCCAGCTTCTATATTTTAACTATATGAGGTTATGAGAAACCCATTATACATCTTGAGTTAACAATTAATGATAGAAGAACCAGATAAAATTTAAATTCAATGAATATTTACTAAGTAATACATGCCAGGCTTGTAAATGACATGAACAAAACATGGTGCTTATTACTCTTGCATTCATAGAAAAATAAACATGACCATGGCTAGCTACAGCATGCAATTTTATACTAGTGGATGAACAAAATAATGAGAGAAAAGAATGTTGAAAATCCTTATGGAAATAGTAAACTAAACATGAAGGGATAATCAAAGGCAATTTCTTGGTTTTGAATCTGGTCATCAAGAATAACTAAAGGAACAGGTAGAAATTAAAAAAAGAATGAAATAAATGTAGCCCACCTAATACTAGGCTGAGTGTGAAGAACTGATTGATCATTATGCATTAGTGATGTCTAACAAGACTTGGAAAGTGAAGGATGTATGCTAACAGTCAAATCAGTCTTCTAGGTCTTTTTGTTTATTTGGTTTTTTGAGACAGGGTTTCTCTGTGTAATAGTCCTAACTCTCCTGGAACTTGCTTTGTAGACCAGGCTAGCCTCGAACTCAGAGATCTGCCTGCGTCTGCCTAGAGTGCTGGGATTAAAGGCATGCACCACTACAGCTCAGAATTTTCTAGTTCTTAAAGCTACATAAGATTTTTATCTGATCTTGCATTACAGATTAGGAAGCCACAGCAATTACGTAAAGATTTTCTGGAGGACAGACTGAGTTCAGAGTGCTCTCTACAAACAAGATGCTTGGGTGCCACCGGTACTACTATCAGACGGGCTGAGGAGGAAGAACACTCACACTGCTGGCAATAGTCAGGACGTGGGAATTGGGGGTATTGCTGCTGAACACACTAAGGGAAGATAGTGTCAGGAAGTCAGGGATAATCCAATGTAGCAAATCTTGCAGATTTCAAACTACAAGACAATTTTTGTAAAGTAGAAGGCAAAGTCAGACTGCACACCTTACTAAATGAAGAGGAACATTAAGATGAGGACACTACACTCAAGACAGACAGACAAAGACTTTTTCTCAAGAAAGTCAACAGGAGACAGTAGGCTCCAAGAAGGATTTTCAATCAGTCCATTTTATATTCTCCCATATTTATTTATTTTATTTAGTCTGCAGTAGAGATGCAGAAATTGTAAGTTTTAAAAGTAAAATGTGTTACTGGGCAGTGGTGGTGCACGCCTTTAATCCCAGCACTCAGGAGGCAGAGGCAGGCAAATCTCCTCTGTTCAAGGCCAACTTAGTCTACAGAGTGAGTTCCAAGACAGCCAGGGCTACAGAGAAACTCAGTCTCAAAAAAAACAACAACAAAACAAACAAAGTACAATGTATCTATCTACAGATATTTATCCTAATGTTGTTCACTACCGTTTCTATTCATCAATAAAGAAAATGATAGTTTGCTGGAATCATTTAAAAAGTAACAACAAACTCCCAATTAACTACAGAGGAAATTAACTACATTATACACCTGAGAACTTAAAGTCTTAACTAGTTTACTATTTATGTTTAATGCCAGTTTAGTTTTCCAGAACATAAGCATTTAGAGCACAAAGCTGCTAAGCAACAGAGACTACCCCATCTTAGCAGTTAACCGGGTCGTGCTTCATAGGCTCCTCTCTAGGCACTGAGTTCACAGAACGCAGGGTGCCATTACACAGGAATATAAGCGGAGGGTTTCCTGTAGATAACCCTCAAGTTTGACTGGTTCTGAAATTCTTTAGAAGGGTTTGAAATGAATGAACCTTGTGAGTGCCCATTTGAATCTCTTCCTCATTATCACAGCCTTCCGCTCTAGCAAAGTCTTCAACATCTTGCCATTCCTTATTGCTTTCCTTATGGAAGCACAGTCGTGTGCCTAGAGTTGAATTAAGAAAGAAGGAGTCAGACAATATGACTACTATCTCCCCCAAGGCAGCTGCAGAACAGTCAAGTATTTCTTTACCTTTCAGGAAACAGTGCCAAACAGTTGCCGGCCAGGAATTGCACCAGCCCAGGTCATCGTCGTCTGACAGGGAGGACATGCAGAAAATGCCAGACTCAGATTCACTGTTCGCCTGTACAGAGAAACAGAAACCTCTATTTTGTTATCTTTTAAAGCTCTTTTAATACCTATTTATAACTCAAGATTTCAAATAACTTAATTGTAAGCTTAAGGAAAATACATTTTCAATACTGAAGAGTTTTGTTTTTTTTTAAGTTTTAGTTAAATACTGTCATTTGCTAACCATCTTTCTTTTTTTAAAATAAATCTTTATTATGTATACAGTGTTCTTCCTGCATGTATGCTTGGACACCAGAAGGGGCACTAGATCTCATTATAGATGGTTGTGAGCCACCATGTGGGTGCTGGGAATTGAACTCAGGATCTCTAGAAGAGCCTCTTAATCTCTGAGCCATCTCTCCAGACCTGTAACAAACTTTCTTAACATAAGAAGTAAACACAAAATCAAATGCACATAATTAATAAACAATGAAATATTTTTTCCATCTGTATATTTTCCAAAAGAATTTCTTAGATGGGGGAAAGGTTATGTTTTTCAATTATTATATAAACTTTGTAGAACTTTAACGTCATGAAAAAACTTACCCTTTCATGTCTTACTGGTGTTTCTTCCTTCCAGTGGTCATGAGGGAAGGCTGGCCTGCTCTTTGAAGAAGAGGACACTGGTGGTGGGCGTGCATAGGAATGTAAACTTTTGCTAGTAGCTATGATGTGTACAGGAGATGATCTAAAATAAAGCAGCAGTTTTCACTATACAGTTTAGGCCCTTAGAGAATATCTTTTCTCTTGATAACAACATAGTGCCAACAATTATTCATGAGGAGTAAAGACAGCAAGATTGCATTGCATTGAACTTATCATAAATCCTCTTCACATGCAAATTTACTAAGAGATGGTAAAGTACTATTATCACATATTCATCCCATTCTTTTACAACTTTTTAAAATTCAGACAGCTCTATAGTCCAAACCGGCCAAAACTCAGGAGTTTCCTGCCTCAAGAACAAGAATTGCAGGCACGCATACCATACTGGATTCCCATCTCTTTTATCCCAACACAGAAAAATATGCATATCACCATGAAGGAAATATCCATCCATTTCTTCCATTCAGCATGGGATTACAAGCTTAACTGAACAATGCTAAACTGTCCAGCAGCCATGCATCACTGGGAAGACATGACTTGCCTTAAGCAAAAACACTGTCACTTCTTAAAAGGCAACACTATTTCTTGCATTCTAAGATAGTCCAGTCCCTTTCCTACAAGGATCACCTTGACCCCTTCTCCTTCCTTTCCCATAGTAAAGTCTCTACTGAGCTGTACTCTTTCAACTACGTAGGACTCCCAAGAACACACTAAGATCCTTCCCTCATAACCAGTACTACAGGACACTTCAGACATTCAACCTTCAATAGCTCAAATACTCAACACCCGTAAGCTCTACACCAATAGCCACTAACAATGATGGAAAACAGAGCACAATTGTGATGAGCAGCACAGAAAATGCCTCCAAGAATAAAATGACATCCCCAGGGAGACAGTCCCTTACTTCTATCTTTCTTTACCTTCATTTTCTTCTGGAGGGTTTACTGACTCCCCATGAGCTTCCCCTACCCCTTTTCTTTGCAGTATCAGACACAATTCAGGTTTTAACCTTGCACATGCCCAGTAAGCACTGTTCTACAAAGCTGTGACTCCCCAGCCCTTCTATAAACTGTAACATCAATGTGAAGATGAAAACTGCCATCTTCTAACTCTAGTTAGAGGAAGGAACAACACTTAAATCAGGGTTTGTTTTTCCAAAAACGCATGATTATAGTTAAGGGACTGGGATGCAGCTTATTAGTAAAGTTCTTTCCTATCACGCAAAACATCCTAGGTTAAACAGATTACTGTGAAAAGTAGGGATACAAAGGAAATGACACGCTGAAAGAAAAGTTTTCTTCCCTATGGAAATTGATACAAAATTTAACTGAACCAAATGGCTCTGTCGAAACCAATATTCTACAAAAAGAAAAGCAGAATGCTTCAATAGGATGCAGGACAACTATGCTATGGCCAAGTATTCTACAACGTGGAAACTATACCCAAGTTAGATATACCCTACTTACCTAGTAAATTCTAGTCTAATTCTCACCAACAGAGTGAAGATGGGGCATTTCTCCAAGCTGTATTTAGTGAAATGATACCCACTAAGGTCTCCCCAGGATCGTCAACTAGCATTTTCCATAGGTTCACCACAGATTCACACATTTTCTTAAACTTTGGTCTTGATATATGAAGTGGTTTTTATTATTGGAAGTCTACTTTAAGGTTTTTTTTTATTTTATTTTTAGATTTATTTCTATTATGCGTATGAGTGTTTTGCTTGCATGTCCGTTTGTATACCACGTGCATTCCTGGTACCTGAGGAGGTCAGAAGAGGGCATCAGATCCCTTGGAACTGGAATTACAGAGGGATGGTTGTAAACTACCATGTAGGTGCTGGGAATCAAACCTAGGTCCTCTAAACAACAAGTGCTCTTAACCAATAAGCCACCTCTCCAGCTCTTACTTTAAGATTAAAAAACCTTAGAATTGGCAAAGATAAACACACACTGTGGAAAAATACAGAACACAATGAATCAAAAGTACAGCTGATAAAAGTTTAAAATACAGTACTTAACTATGGTTCTTCAACTAAATACAATTTTTATTTCTAGAAGTAAAACTTTATAAAAATGTATTCCTTAGACTAATTTTTTGATTTGTAAACACATATTTTAGGCTATTTTTTCTCATACATTGTTATCTAATTCTCAAAATAATGAAATCATCTTTGATCATTATATGGATGTTAATTTTGACTTTAAATGTTAAATTAACCATCCTCTAATGGCTAATTAGCTATCTAATTAGCTAATCCCATTATTATAAAATTGGGAGATTTTAAAATAATAGCTTTTTGAAATTAAGTTTAAATGTCTTCTTCATTCATGAGTGTGCATGCACTACAGCATGCATGAAAACCAGCTTGGCAGCAAGCTCCTTTACCCACTGAGCCCACTTGCCAGCCCTAATGACACACGTTCACACTGCAAACATGACCAGTGCTCCCCACCTGTTGTAGAAGGAGCACTGCATCAGTGGACTTTGTGGACTAGTGGCAATATTTGCTAACTCTGTCAGCCAGTCCACCTCATCTTCACGGTGAGCATTTTCCGATATGTCTGAGGTATTCTGGCTCCAAGACGGTCTTGGATAGTCTTGATGAGATACATCTGAACTTAGCTGGTATATGGCAGACTGGGCAGGATCACTCTGAACAGCCTGAAGTTCAGGAAGGTCATCTGGAAATAAGTACAAGATTATTTTTCCTTCAATATTAATATAATGATACTATAGTAACTTCAGTTAGGAATACACAAATTTAACTAATTTTGAAGGAAAAATATATTCAAAATTAAATTCAGTGATTTCTCAAAAGAAAATTTCAAAAAAAAAAAAAAAATACCTGTACATGTGGATCTAGGGAGCCTGAGGGAAGATAACTTAATGGATGTGAACATGGTTTACTACTTAAACCATGCAGTTATCACAAGAGCCCAGAACCTGAAAAAACAAGGTTCAGTTTGTTTTCTATACCTCATCCAGGAATGATTTATATAATTGAAGAAAGGGGCATTTAATGTGTACAGATAGTGATGCATAAACTTTTTACTAACCTGTTAAAAACAAGTAACTGCAATATTGAAACCAACTTCTAAAGATGAGCCCAGAGATGTACTATCAAGTTTTAGGTAGTAACACAACACAAGTCTATGTTAATTTCTGTGAGTTGGGTATGGTGGTACATGCTTGAAATCCCAACATCTGGGAGATTGAGACTGATGGACTAAAAGTTTGAGAATAACCTGAGCCACACAGCAAAACCCTGACTCAAAACAACAAAGAAACAAATGGAATAGATTCCGTAAGTCTTTCTTTAGTTTCTGGTTTAGCTGGAGCTGCTGGTGCAGGCTGTAAACTAGCATCTGGGAAGCTGAATCAGGAAGACTGTGGTTGAGTTCAAGGCCAGCCTGAGCAACACAGACCCTAGATCAAAACAGAACATAAAACAGGAATTTTCAATTCAAATATATTTAGTAGTATTCTTTTCTTAATGCATTCCCCAAAGGTAGATCACAAAACCTAGCTTTTCAAAGAAAAAACTAGGAAACAATCCAAAAAAGAAATATGAAATTCTTTAAAAGATGGGGGATCTCATATGCCTTTTTAAAAACAAAACAGCCAAGCATGGTGTGGCATTCTTTTAATCCCAGCACTCAGGAGACAGAGTCAATGGATCTCTGTGAATTCAAGGCCAGCCTGGTCTACCCAGAAAGTTCTAGGACAGCCAGAGCCACATAATAGACCCCCATCTCAGAAAAACAAAATACAAAAGACAAAACAAAAACCAGAAATCCCCTGTATAAAGCACTCACATACACACACCCTACAGACCTGCAGGGTCCCTTAAATATGCAAATCAAGAAAATCTTCTGGGGAATGGAGAAATAGTTCAGTAGTTCAGAGCACTTCCAGGGGACCTAGGTTCAATTTCAAGCATCCACATAGAGGCTAAGAACTGTCCGTAATTCCAGTCCTAAAGGATCTAATACCCTCTTCTGGCTTCTGTAGGCACCAGGAACACATGTGGTTCACAGAGATACATTCTTTGTTTTTCTTTTGGTTTTTCAAGACAGGGTTTCTCTGTGTAGCCCTGACTGTCCTGGAACTCACTCTGTAGACCAGGCTGGCTTCGAAATCAGATATTCGCCTACCTTTGCCTCCCGAGTGCTGGGATTAAAGATGTGCACCACCAACGCCTGGCTCACAGAGATATATTTAAGCAAAATAGCCATACACAACACATAAAATAAGATAATAAAAAATATTTAAAAATAAAAATCTTTGAAATTACTTACAAATGTCACTAATGAAAGTAAATTGAGCTAAGAAAACTCATTTCTTTTTTTGTCTGTGCTTTTTTGAGACAGGGTCTCACTATGTAGCTCTGGCTGCCCTGGAACTCACTCTAGACCAGGCTGGGCTCGAACCACAGAGATCCACCTCACTCTGCCTCCAGAGTGCTGGAATTATGGCATGCGCCACCACCGCCCTACCGAAAATGTGTTTCTTTATAGCTGTGTCATCACCTCTTTTAGATCCTCTACTGTCTCAGTAACAAGTGTTCTGTGACATTCCTTTGTGAACACTAATTACCTTGCTTTATGCTATGTAGTAGTGACCACACTTTACCATGTTTTTAATGATGTTATGATGTTTTCTTTCCACATGACAATGGAGAATACAAAAAAGTATCCAATACCACACCAGGGGGGAAAAAACCCTCAAATACACAAAACCTCTCCTACTCCACTAAGTATCTCCATAAAGGCCTATATGCAGGCAAATATTCCAGAGGAGACCTCTAAAACTAAAGTATCTTAGTTAAAAGCAGTAATTCAGGTTATCCATTCATTCTTAACACTAACTACACAGTATCCATTTCATTGAATAAATGAGGTATAAAGCACACCATATGCTAATTCCAACTGCCAATCCTTAGGCTGTTGTAACTATATCCCTTACCTCACTGTCAACACCCTGTCTTTAAATGAACCATTTCTTTATTAGGAATGGTTTATTTCTGTTTTTCAGATTGAGAAAATTAGCTCCTTTTAAAATGAAGCCAGATAGAAAAAGAATAAATAGAAGCTCCTGGGCCTCATTTCCTCTGGACATGTGAGGATGATGATGGACAATCAACCATTGCCAAACGCGCTGCTCCTTGCTCAATAGTAATCACTACTCACAAAGTATTAGGATCCAGAAAATATGTGGCACTTGAATTTACACATTATGTCCTGAGACCTTCAGGACTTCAAAATTCCCAAGCATCACCACAATATCATCATTTGTAAAGCCAAGGTGACCACGAGCCATGCCCTCTCAGTTTCTATAAACATTACAGGAAGACAAAGGCATGGTGAAAAGCTGAACAGCAGGCCAAAGGTGCTCATTAACTCTGCTCCAGAACAGCAGTCTACAAGCAGTAGATTTAAAATCATTACTCAATAAACCTCAACATTCTACAAACATCTCTCTGGAGTGGCTCATTAGCAATGATCACTACAAATGTTTTATGGGTACTGTCACTTCTGTATCAGATCAACCATGACGAGCTCACTGGGAAGGTACCAAGTCACATGGCAGGGTTTCTGATCTTAGTACACAAATAAAACTATTTACTTCAATAAGTTTTCAATCTCTTTGAGTACCTAAGTAGCTCACACTGTTTTCAGCTATACTGTAAAACAAGGGATCTCCTCCATAAGGTTGGGGGAGGGTGGATCACTAGGCCTGCTGCACAGCATGAGGACCTGAGTTTGGATCTTTACCACCCACAAAAGCCAGATAGCAGGCCAGGACCTGTGTGCGGCTGAAGGTATCTGGGGTGGTAAGATAAGAGGATTCTGGGGGCTCTTTCTGGATCACCCGTCTAGATGAACTATGAGCCTCCAAGTTCACTGAATAAACAAGAGTAAGGTGGAACTTGACAGAAGAAGCCACCTGACACAGACCCCTGGCCTCCACAGTACACACATGGGCCAGTGTACGCACAAGCACATGCACCACATACACACTAAAAAGAAAAGCAGTAAGAAGAGAAAGTTAAAAATTCCTATTACACAAGTGCTTTACATACTTTTTAGGCAGACAAGACAGAGAAGGTGATTAAATATGGCAATTCATCTGAATCTTAGTAACTAGATTCTTATACAGGTTTGAATTTTGTTTACCAAGCTCCATGTGCTCGTCACAGGAGTTGTATCCTGGAGAGGATGGCAAATTCTCATTACACTGCAGCAACTCCAGCGAGTCACTCATTCCTGGCGCTCTCTTGTCCATCACCAGCAGGAGTTTCTGTACTGCATTAGGCATCTGATTTGTCTTCACTTCCCACACCATGTTATGGTGCTCCGACTGGAAATGAAAGGAGGACAGTGTCCAGTCACGTGTCAGCGAGAGAGACAGCACCATGCCGCGTTTCAACTTACTCATACATTGCCGCTTGATTTTCCCCAATCCCTCCAAGACAACTCCACAACTGTGTGCTCAACACTAAATCACACAGAAACCTCCAAGTACTAACATTGTTAATTCAGAATTTTCTCACCACTAATGGCACAATTATATTCTGAACTTTCTTTTCAGATACAAATACTAACAATTCATTTTTCAGCTGTGTTCAAAATCAAAAGAAAATCAAGCCCAACCAACTTTCCTTATGTAAAAAGACTGAAGGAGCTGGGTGGGGTGGTGGCATACTCCTTTAATTCTTGAACTCAGTGGGCAGAAGCAGGCAGATTTCTCTGAGTTCAAGGTCAGTCTGGTCTACATAGCCAATTCCAGGCCAACCAAGTATACCTAGTGAGAACCCAACAAAAACAAACAAACCCACCCTAGAGGAATAATCCATTTCTTCTGTTTTTAAAGACTTTTCATTTATTGCTCAATACTTTGCTTCTTCATATTCTGAAAGTGAACAATTTTAATATACTTAAAATTATATTCTCTATGAACATTTAAACATTTCTGAGTCTATATTACATTATACTTCTCATGAAAATTAATACATTCTTATGTTTTCTTTGAAAGATTTGGAACCTAGCATGACAAAAAGGTGTGTTATTCTAAGTCAGGCATGGTGGTACATACCTTTTGCCTCAGCACTCAGGAGGCAGAGGCAGGTGTATCTGAGTTCAAGGCCAGCCTGGTCTACAGAGAGAGTTCCAGAACAGCCACAGATACAAAGAGGAGGAAAAAGGGGGAAAAAGGGAGTCATTCTATATTAACTATTATTCCCAGAAAGATTAAAAAAAAAAACCCTGTAGTAAATTTAGCTAACCAATTACTAAAACTACCTTCAAATCAAATCAGTACCACTCAAAATTCCTTTTCAGAGAAACTCAAATTTTTGAATCACACTGGAGATAAAGATTCAGCTTTAATTCCCAGCTACCTTCTTCCTTTATAGAGATTCTTTGTGAAAGCCTTGGTCAAGTTATCACAAAGAAGAGGGCTACAAATTAACACAGCATTTCTCAGCAAAATCCTAATGTGATTATCCCTGTCACACTCTCAGCCTTGACAATAGTTACATTAGGATCTAACTAACATACTAACATAATGGCAACCAAGTCAGACTTCCTGACTTCTCAGGCTCCAATTTTTTTTTTTTTTAATTCTAAGAAACAACAAATCGTGATTTTTCAACAATCTATAGTTCTTTCCCTCAAAATAGTTTGATTCCTAAAAGGTACAGTTGAGAGCACACCTTGGTATAAATGCATATGACAGAAATCAATGTGCTCTCTAGAGCAGACCTTGGTATATGTGCATACAACAAAAATCAATGTTTTAAAAAATGACCCTTGTCTAGGTACTACTTTAGAGGCTTATTCATATCAACCGAAGACATGGTTTGTGTGGCAGAAGGACCCTCAGATTTAAGAAATATGGCTTTTGATTCCAGTTTGATTATTTTACTTTATGAACCAAGTGACTGAACTTGTGGCTCAGTTATCAAAATCATGTTTACAAAACCTGCCCTACTTTCTCTCCGTAAGTCCTTATGAATGAAAAAAATTTTAAAATGTAAAGTAAGTTTTTAAGCTCCAGACTATGAGACAATAAAAACATGCTGTGGGGGTTCTTAATGTCCTACAATACTCACTGAAGGCAAATAACCACACACCTATCCAGTCTGGGCAATTTCTTCCTGGAAGACCTGACAAGCTCTCCATACACACCTTGGAACAGTGATGTCTCATGCTATTACTTTGGGTATTTAACAGTTTATCTAAGTCTGAGGCATGCTGTGGAATAATCCTGTACACTATGAAAACACGTTGGTCTCACTGTTAATAAAAAGCTGATTGGTAGTTAGCCAGGCAGGAAGTATAGATGAGACAACCAAACTAAGTGGGGGAGGAGGGCAGAGTCAGGAAGGGACAGGAGATGCAGGAAGAAGCAAAATGGACGTGCTATACTAAAAAAAGGGATCAACCCATGTGGCAAAACATAGATTAAAAAATGAGTTAATTTAAATGTCAGAGTTAGCTGGTAACAAGCCTGAGCTATCGGTCAAGTATTTATAATTATTAAGACGCTGAATGGTTATTTGGGAAACAGCTGCCAGGACAGAAAAATTCTGCCTACAAATGGCACCTAACGTGGGGCACGAAATATCCACATAAGACTAACAAAGCTTAAAAGAAGATTATAGGCACCCAAGAATGGAATCAAGCATGGCTTCTTGGCAGCCCCATTTTCTTGGATGGGCTCTGTTTGCTGGCGATAAGCAGAGGCATGGCTCCTTTAAGAGGCAGCTTCCTGGCTCAATGCTAGTGGCCAAAATGGGCAGCTCTTTCAAGAGGCCCTACTACCAGACACTTGATGGTTATGAGCAGTGGGTGGCAAGCCGCTTAGTGGACACATGGACCCAGAAACTTCCCAGAGTTGGAGATGTAAACAACATGCCTCCGCCATGAGACTAGGCTCTTTGGGAACCAAAGGGAGGAGCCAGCCACCAACACGCCATGGCCTAAGTTACATAGCAATTTAAGTTTTACTCATACAGACAAAAAAGGTTACAGATGCTCAATAAAGGACAGATCCAGACAAACACACACACACACACACACACACACACACACACACACACACACACAAAGAGACACTGGATTATAAAAACCGCTAGATTAAACCAACCTACATATTTAAAAAATATCCTGACTTTAAAATTTAAGTCAAAAGATATGTTACTTCAGGGGAGAGGTTATGCTTTATTTCCATGGGAAATGAAAAAACTATGGATTCATTCCAGGTTAAAAAAAAAAATCAGGTCTGATTAAGAAAGACCCCCCCCTAAAATCCTGACTATAGACATAAAGAAATAAACCTAAAGAACTACAAAATACATGTGTTTTACCTGCTCAAACACATAATGGCTGCCAGGGCAGAAAAACTCCACCTACTGAGAGAGGCACTGTGGAAAATCAACGTTTTAGCACATAAGTTACCAACACTGCTGAGCTATGATAACTTCCCACAAATGTGATGGTCAACTGAAATGTGCCTTCTCAAGTATTAAATCACGCTTTCTGGGCTGGAGAGATGGCTCAGAGGTTAAGAGCACTGGCTGTTCTTCCAGAGGTCCTGAGTTCAATTCCCAGCAACCACTTAGTGGCTCACAACCATCTGTAATGAGATCTGGTGCCCTCTTCTGACCTGCAGGCATACATGCAGACAGAACACTGTATACATAATAAATAAATAAATTTTAAAAAAAGTCACGCTTTCTGTGCCTCTGCCCAGCACTTGAAACATTGAGTAAATTCAGCTCTACCAGTGACTCTCACTTAACTCTGCAAAGTATCCCATGTATGCCTAGAAACAAAAAGGAAATGATTTGTACCAGCCCTGTTTACTGGTTTTTGTTTTCAAAAAATCCAAGTGTGTTGAGTTAAGTAAGAACTGCTGAGATTAAAAAACGACTGTTGTCGGGCGGTGGTGGAGCACGCCTTTAATCCCAGCACTCAGGAGGCAGAGCCAGGCGGATCTCTGTGAGTTCAAGGTCAGCCTGGACTACCAAGTGAGTTCCAGGAAAGGCGCAAAGCTACACAGAGAAACCCTGTCTCGAAAAACAAAAACAAAAAACAAAACAAAAACAAACAAACAAACAAACAAAAAAAAAAACGACCGTTAACAAGTTGAGGTAATGTAACACAATGGTAGGTCACCTGCCTGTCATGCCAAATGAGGGCTTGGTCCTCGGCACAGGGATACTATACTACATTACGTTTTCATCAAGTATCATACACAAGACATATTAGCTGCAACAACAAACAGTTAACCAGAATCTCTAGGGATCTAGGCTTTAGTTGAACAAGACAAGTAAATAGCTTTCGCTGTACAGAACAAGGCTTAGCTGTCAATAGGGGGTAGGGGTGGGGTGGACTCTCAACAAGAGAAACATCAGCTAACAGACCTGGCAAAGTGCTACTGGATGAGATCAGGAAAATAGAGAAATTTATTATCACCAGGAAGCATGACAGCCTTGAGCACTTTGTGGCTATGGATACTAAACTGTAAGGTGCAGTACAGTGGATCTTTTTTTGAGACAGGGTTCCTTTTGTTAACAGCTCTGGCTGTTCTGGAACTAGCTTTGTAGATCAGGCTGGCCTCAAACTCACTGAGATCCGTCTGCCTCTGTCTCCCAAGTGCTGGTTAGAATAAGTCTTAATCCTAGTATAAGAAAATAAAGACAAGACTCTGAAATTAGATTAAGTATAAACCAGGTTTGTCAAGAGGCTACATGCTCAGAACAATCTATTTTAATATCTTGCTTTGTTTGTTAAATGGAATAATTAAAGTACACACTTCTTTGGTTGTAGTAAAAACTCAGTGATAATGAAAAATGTTCTGGAATCCCTAACATAAAACATCTTCAGTATGGAATGGTTGGTGTTGCTATTAGCAACTATCAGACAACAGGGAGTCACTGATGGTTTGTGGACCTGAGGTCTGACATGAGTGTAACTACAATCAGGTTCTTTCAATCTGCACAAACCATATTAAAACACTATGTGAACAGGCAAGGTCTGTAGCATATGCAGGGTATTTTGGTTTTTTGAGACAGGGTTTCTCTGTGTAGTTTTAGTGCCTGTCCTGGAACTCACTCTGTAGCCCAAGCTGGCCTTGAACTCACAGAGATCCGTCTGGCTCTTCCTCCCGAGTGCTGGGATTAAAGACCTGTGCCACTGCTGCCCGGCTGGTATTTTTTATTTTTGAAGAACACTCACATTCTTAATTTCTAAATAAGCCAACTGCTTCCAGACTCCTTTGCAAAATCTTGTAAAAGGTGGTAAATAGTAACAATGCAGATTCCTTATTTAGTAATTCCTAAGACACACAGGAACTCGGTCACTCTTTACAAGTTCTCTCAAACAGCTAACACTAACAGTTTAGATCAGATTTTAATTCATCCTATAGTAATCTATTGAACAGCTTAAAGAACATAATCCAATTTTCATGTCAGCTCCTGAACATCCACACTCCATTCCACATACTGTGACCTAGATGTCAATTGTCAACTATAGCTGCACCTCGAAGACAACCCCACTTTGCCATCATTCTCAGATAGCCTTTGTGTCCTAACAGTGCTGTTCTGAGTCCACAGAATCTACTGTGGCTCTCGTTTCTCTCCCTCTGCAGAGGGCTTTGGTTTTGCCATTCTGCACATCTAGACCTTCCCCTTTCCCAATCAGCAGTGCCTACCATTCACCATAGAATTTCTCCCACTTAGAATCTCATCACAATCTCATCACAACATACTTGTAGGGGGGGGGGCAAACACTAATTTTAATGTCAAAGCAGAACTACCTACCACTGACAGACCAAGTAAATATTTACTGTTCTTGACATTTGGACTTCCCACTGATTATGGTGAAGTCTGGTTTTTGACTGATGGTTTGCTAAGGTAAAAGTTTTTTATTACACAGGTTTTGTTTTTTGTTTTCCTATGAAGTTTTGATTGTTAAGGTTTTTATTTCCTATACAGGGAAAGAATGCCTAAAGTTCAAGACAATAGACTCACATTTTTACTCTTCTGGTTACATACACTGGAACCAGCAATTTCATCTTCAAACTCCCACAGTACTACTTATCTCATGGGGCTAGTGGAAGACTAAAGCACATGAAAACACACACATACAAAAGTCATATCAGAATGTTGGTCTGTGTCTTCTTACAATCCACGCTGGGCAAAGCAAGACCTCTGAAAATGTAAAGGAACACCATTTCAGCCTATCCTCAAAACAATCCCCACATACAGGACAGCAATTAGATATTATTCTGATAAACAAGCTCAGTTTTCAAACACCTCCTGGTAGAGCTAACCCTATTGTTCATTCACATTGTATACACTGCTCTATGAGAATGTGCAACAGGACTTGCCTTGTATTTAAGCTAAATATGCACATCAATTTTTCATTAAATCAATGATTTTCAAAGCTTCAATTCTCTAATTTTACTTTAAATGCCATGTTCAAAAATTCAAAATTTAACGTTTTTGCTACAAACTTTTCTAACAAAGTATGTGCAAACTCTAGGAAGAAGAGAACAGAAGACAACAAAGAAACTGGGTTTTCAAAACGCTTGTCTCTCTCCTTCCCACACTCCAGAGCACTGCCACATACTTCCTCTCATTTTAGTCATCAGGCAAACAGCTCTGGGAACATAACGCATGAGGAAGGCAGGACTCTGACCACTCAATGGGACCATTTTCTTTCTAAAAAAAAATGAAGAGACAAAATCATAAACATTTAGCCCAAAATATGTTAGACTCCAGGTTTCAAGCCTTTGTTTCTAGATTCCTTTTTGTTCAGTGATCCTTACCAACTTTGTGAAAGACCCTCCTTCTACTCTCCCTTGATCCTCCAGGACTTCCAGACACCACCTAGGCTATTTAACTTGTTTCAAAGAGGATGTGAAGAAAAGGCAATGTACCTCAACTAACAAATATTAAATTCAACTTTTACATCAAAAGCAATCAGAAAGTCTTACTGAAGTCCTTTTAGAATAACATCACATATTCTAAATGTCACTTCTTTGACAAATGTTTCTGCCGCTGAGCTAAAACATGAAAACGAGAAGCCACATGGGCCGGGTGGTGATGGCGCACGCCTTTAATCCCAGCACTCGGGAGGCAGGCGGATCTCCGTGAGTTCAAGGCCAGCCTGGGCTACCAAGTGAGTTCCAAGAAAGGAGCAAAGCTACACAGGGAAACCCTGTCTCAAAAAACAAACAAACAAACAAACAAACAAAAAAAAAAAGGAAGCCACATGGTGGGTTTGTTTTGGTAAGCTGCACAACTGTAGCTTACCACTTAGCACCTTTGTGCTCCTCAACAGTTTAACCACTGACACCTAGTTCCTTATTTGTCAATAGAACTAAACCTACCCACTCCTCAAAATTATTACAGGCATAAAAAATATCTCACATTCTTCCTTTGCTGAACATTGCAAATCAAATCAAAGTAAATTATTTTCATGCTCAATCAGCATGAAATACTAATATAGATCACATAAAACTTTCTGTGAACAATACTGTCAATTCAAAGAATATTTAAGGCAGGGTATTCTGGAGGCTGAAGAAATGGTCCAGCGGCTAAAAGCACTGACTGCTCTTTCAGAGGCCCTGGTTCAATTCCCATTACCTACATCAAGTCACTACTGTCTGTTAACTCCAACTACCTCTTCTGGCTGGCTTGGTTACTGCATGGACACGGTACACAGGCATACAGGCAAGCAAAACACCCACACACATAAAATTAAAAAATCTTAAAGAAACATCCTTTTATGAGAAACTTGAAATCATCTAAATTTTACATGAAAGAAACTATTTCCCTATACCTAATTATAATCCTAACCATTTTCATATTATTACAACTCTTTCAAGCCAGGCATGGTTGAAATCTAAAATTTATATGAAAGAAACCTAGTTTCTAACTTGATTATACTCTTAAACATTTTCATATTTCTACAACCTGTGAAAAGAGCTTTTTTTTCCTTTCTTTTTTTTTTTGTTTTTTGTTTTTTGTTTTTTTTTGTCCTGACATGGCAGCAAACTTAAACCTCAGCACTCCGAAGGAAGAGGCTGGAAGATCACTGTGGGTTCCATTCCAGCCTGGTCTATATAGTTACAGTATGAGACCCTGCCTAAAGAAGGGGAGAGAGGCTTTCTAGAGGAGCATTAACGGCTAAGGATGGAGGACTGCCAAGAATCCAGGGCCAGCCAAGGCTATAAAGACTTCAGAATCTTCAGGACAGGTAACTTTGTTCATTTGTCTAAAACCATATTACAGGTAAATTTTTCTTATTTTCTCTTTCTTTTCTTTCTTTCTTTCTTTTTTTAAAGATACAATTTTACGTAGTCCAGGCTGGTCTGGAATTCACTATGTAGCTGAGGTCATGGCCCATTCTGCTTGTTCCTCCCAAGGTGCTTGAGATTACAAACAGACATGCCTGAAAATAAACTTTTCTAATTTTCATAGTGAAAACGTAATAGGAATTGTGACTGGACGTGCAAAGCAAATACAGATGAAAATATGAAAGTACATAATTAATAACTGACATCAGGAAGTTAAAATGTTTCAAATTTTCTTAATTGTTTGATATACAGGCATTTGTCAGTTTAACTTTAATTTTTGTGATTTCTTTTACCCTTCTCAGTACATACTGTGAAATTTAAAACACATAAAATATCTGCCCTTGTTAATACTGTTAGGGAGTAACTTCTGAAGATAACTTATGTGACTAAAAGAGTACTGATATCTTTATTTCCAACCGATACACAAAAGTTTGTAATGCACACCAAAGAACCTTCAGGCTCAGTATCTAAGTTCACGCCATATGCCTGCTTCACTGCACACTGGGAGAGTCCGGAGATAAAATACAGTAGACAATTTGGTGGTATAGTGTTCAAGAGAGGAACACAACTGTCGTTTAAGTACAACTGAGAAAGGTATGACCAAAAAACAATGAAAAGGCATCCTTTTTAACAGTCGGGAAATGAACAAAGGGCTTTCCCAGGAAGAAACAGCAACTACGTTTATAAAACTAAGCTGCGAGCTATAAAATTAAATGTTAAAAAGATTCTTAAGTTTACTAGTCGAGTTGAAGTAACGTTTAACCATTTCTTCTTCAAAACCCTCAGGTAAGGCAAAAACTTGATGAAGTTTCTTTTTAACGTAACTCAAATTTTCCCAATACTCAGTTTACAAAACAAAGCTGAGGATTAACTCGAGAGGTCTAACGCCGGAAACAAAAACACAGAATTACAGCTCGAGATCACTGCTGTAGTAAGAACACTAAAGTATTTATAAATGTTAAAAGTACTCTAATTCTCAAACCGTAACTCATCCTGAAACCCCACTCCCCAGAAGGTGAAGCTTCCTTAAGCCCTACTGAGTCCCAGCATCAGGTACGAGGCGCCAGTAAACGTGTCCCGCCCAGCTGTCAGAGCTTTCACACGACTCCAGCTGAAAAGTCCAGGGTGAACTGCAGGGTGCACAGCGGAGGGAGCACGGAGGAGCGAGACTCCGAAACCCCGCTTCGCCCGAACTCCTTTTTGTTTTGTTTAAATCGGCCTGCAGAGGGAGGAGCCTGGCCTCGCCCGCAGGCCTCGTCGCCGGGTCAGTCTGAGCAGCGCCGCCCGGAGCTGGCCAAGTCCACCCCCACCTCTTTCGCCATTCATCGCTTCCTCCCCTCCCCCCATCATGTGACCACAGCCTGGACGCCAGGCTTGTTTTTCCCCCTCGGCGCAGCCCCACCGCGCACGCGCCTCGCAGCCCATTCATTCGAACTGCGTAACAATGAGCCCCGGGACCGACGGCTCTGCGAGCTCCCCCGCCCGGCCCGGGTCCCGGAGGCAGCTTCGCCTCCCTGGAGCCCCCAGCCCGCTCGGCCCCGCAGCTGGGAGTGGCGAGTCAAACTTTCCGGAGCCCTCCGGAACGCCAGGCCCCTCCCCTGCCCCGGCCCCTTCCCCGCCAGCCCCCACCGCGAGCGCGCCCGAGCGCGGCCTCCGCCAGCGCCCCCACCCCCACCCCCGGGGATCCTGGGCGCCACGACCGCCCAGCCCCAGACAGCTCGGGGGAGGCCCGGCCCGCACGCTCGCCGCAGGGAGCCCCGTGCCCAGCAGCCCGAGGGTCCCCGCTTGAGCGGCCAGCCCCTCCCTTACCCGCCCCCACCCCTCCGGAACCCAGCGACCACACACCGTCACGACGCGGGCCGCCGGTCGCGACAACGTCGCCAGCAGCTTGCCTGCGCATTCCCTGAAGGCCGCCCGCTCCCCTGGTGCGCGCCGCGACTCCCGCCGCGGCGTTTACTTCTCGACCGAAACTTTCCTACTTACCAAACCAGTCGCCATTACCAAGTCTTTCAAGCTTCGTCTTCCCCCTCCCCTAAAGCCCCCGGGGGCTGAGCCTTCGTTCACCTTTTTCGACTTTAATTGGTCTGAAGAACTGCCATTCTAAGGTTCCGCTTTTCCATTGGGCAATGCCGTGGCCCGTCTCGGTGGGCGGGTATGTATTGACTTTTCTGTTGTGTTTACTGGAGAAGGTGGCTTGTCAATCACTACAGAAAGCGCTTTGGATTGGATTGCTGCCGAGACGCTGGGGACCGGAGCCAAACTTTGTTCTCGAAGTGGATTGTGGGTTGGTAGTCTCAGCCTTGCTCCTTAGCTCAGGAAATTGCCGGTGGGAGGAGCTGCTTGAACTACATATCCCAGAGGTGCGCGTACAGCGCAGTCTTGATAGTAAACAAGAGTCATAGGGACACGTGTATCAGCTCGTTTGTTTTGGTGTCTCAGACAAAAGGGAGGGGGCGGAGGAAAGGAGTGTTTTAGAGCTAGGGCCTCTTCTCTTCCTCTGGGCCTCCGGGAGCACTCCGAGCAGCCTCAGTCTGTCAAGCACCCACCCATTCCAGGCCATAAACAGCCAGAGTCGCTTGCTGCTCAAAGTTTGGCAGGTGGCCAAGGTATTGTTTTAGTGCGAGGGGAAGATGACTGCACAAGCGGAAGCAGTGTAGGCACGCCAGGGACTTGATCACTCACGAATCACGGCCCATGCACGATGGGGATGACAAAGGTTGGTTCAAGACTGCCCTCCCGCAACCGATGAGCTAGATTCTTTGACTCAACCCTTACTTCATCACGCCCACAACTCGGGAAAATTTACCAATTATGTTCAGTTTGACCAGGATGCGTTGAGACACAGCCAAGTGCCGTGCACTGTAGGGTTTAGGGATGAGACAATCTCAGTCTCGAGATTTACACAGCTGTTAAAGGGATGATTGCTTTGAAATTGAGGCGTTTGAAGCGGTTATTTCCGTATAGGCCTACATTCTTTTAAGTTCACACAAAGGGGTATAGGTAAGTCCAGACTTAACGTAGTTGCTGGATTACTTCTTTGGTGAATATTTTAACCGTGTCTCCCGCCCAAAGGGTTCAGAAAGAAAACTTGTCTTTCCACTCTGTTTCCACTAGGGGTTCTTCCCACGTTTCTAAGGCAGTCTGACCAGAAGCAGGGAATGTCTTCTCTGCTTTAGTTAGTGACCTTCCCTTTAAAGGAGGTTGCTCATAGCAGCTGGGTGCAGCTAATCTGTAATTGCATTTTTACTATTCACATTATAAGCATCTCTATAGGCATTATTGAGCTTTTTTTCTTTGAACCTGAAGTGTTTCGTCATTTAGGCTAGGGGTTAGGTTTTATTTCTTTTGATTATTAGAGATGTGCTGAAAATCGAGAGGAAGGGAATGAGTAAGAATTCTGCTAAAGTCGATTTAGGGGAGAGTTCGAAATCATCTTTCTTTAAAGCTGACACATTGCTTGAATTTTCAAATGTACCCAAAAGCTACATAAGAGAATCATTAAATTAGACTACCTGTATATGATTGAAACAAAGTTTCAAATTCCTTTGAGTTCTACATTTGGACTCTTGAAATGGAAACTTTCTAAAATAGCCCTCTCAAGTGAGCAGAGATTTACATTCTGTGTTCACATATAGTAGTGATCAAGCACTATTTTCTTCAAAATAATTCAGAGGAAACCCAACAGAATGCCTAATTTTCTCCCTAAATAAAAAAGTAAAAGATTTTAATTTACATCTTTCAGATACTGTAGAATGATTCCAAAAAGCATGACTGTGTTTCAGCCATTTCGTGCTTTTTTTCTTCTTCTTTTAATGGAAAGTGATCATGATCCATAATTTAAAAATAGAAATGCCAAAATGGGTGGAACTAGAAAATATCACCCTGAGTGAGGTAACCCAGACTCAGAAGGACAAACATGATATGTACTCACTCATAAGTGGATACTAGATATAAAGCAAAGGACAATCAGACTGCAACCCACAGAACCAGGGAGGCTACCTAGCAGGGAGGGCCCTAGGATGACTATGGCTTGTAATAAATTTTGGTTTTGCCCAATCACTGGGCATGCTTTAGTGAAACATTTCACTATTGGGATAAGAATTTGTACCGTATCAAGCTGATGAAAGAGTATGCTGGGTGTACTTTCAGGAGGGGAGGCTAAAATCTTTATAGATTATGGATTAGCCTATAGAAAAATGTCTGCTGTAAATCAAACAGTGAAGGGGAAGATGAATAGGAATCTAACTTACACAACTTAAGTAAAACATAGCTCTCTGAACAGATGTAGATAGGTTTCTTCTGTATCCCAGAATCTAATCAATATTTATATGTATAATTCAGCTATTATTTGGCTTAAAGGTGCTTATTGGGAAATGTTATCATTTTTACTATCTTCTACAGAGAAAATATTTTCCAATTTCGAATAACTCTGGACTTTGGAATTATAACCTGTTTTTATGTTTAAAAAATTAAGTGGAAAATGCTGAAGGACCACTGAATTTGATGTTGTATTTACATACCTATATCTGTATAAAATAATGATTATAAATATTTGTTTAAAAAGGTGAAGTGCAAATGTGAATTTAACAAGAAGTTGTAGATTTTTGTAGATTTTCAACATTGTACACAAACTCCTTTGTTACAAATAAATTTTGTTTTGTTTTGTTTTTTGCTTTTTGTTTTTTGAGACAGGGTTTTTCTGTGTAGTTTTGGAGTCTGTCCTGGAACTCACTTTGTAGACCAGGCTGGCCTTGAACTCACAGAGATCCACATGCCTCTGCCTCCCGAGTGCTGGGATTAAAGGCTATGCGCCACCACCACCACCCAGTGTTACATATAAATATTTATGCTTCAAAAAAAATTGAAATACCAATATTTATTTTCTATCTTTGGAGTATATTTAATCATTTAAACTTAATATCTACAAGATTTGCATGTTCTTGAAACTAAAAAGTTGTAATTTCCAAAAATGAAATCAACACAAGCTATGAGCCATGGATTTATCTGTCCCTCTTGAGTATGTAAACTATAACACCGACTTCCCTGAATGTTACAAAAAGAAAGGAAGGGGAAAACGAGCATAAGGTTTTGAAAGCCTTAGCGGTGAAAGTAACGAGGGTGGGAAGAATAAATTCGACTCTGATAAAGATACTGTACATTAATTATGAAGTCTTACCCCTTGCTGACTCCATAGATTTTTTTTCCATTCATTTATATATTTAGTGTAGCTAGAGTTTTTCTGGTTCTGCCTGGCCCACGGTCAGGACAAATCTCTCTCATCCACCAGTCCCGCAGCTGCTCAGGCCCAACCAAGTAAACACACAGAGACTTATAAACTGTATAGCCGTGGCAGGCTTCTTGCTAACTGTTCTTATATCTTAAATCAACCCATTTCTATCAATCTATAAGTTGCCACATGGCTCATAGCTTACCGGTATCTTAACATCTTCTCATGGCGGCAGCTGGCAGCGTCTCTCTGCCTCAGCCTTCCACTTCCCAGACCTCTCCTCTCTCCTTGTCCTGCCTATACTTTCTGCCTGGCTACTGGCCAATCAGTGTTTTATTTATTAACCAATCAGAGCAACACATTTAACATATAGAACATCCCATAGCATATTTAGTACTATTTATTGACTCCCTGTACTAACAACAATACAATTTAAATTTGTCATGTTTTATCTTATGTCCAAGTCTTTAAATATAAGTTAAATCTGGATAGTTTAATCATAGATAAATAAATGTAATTATTAGAATTTCCCCACCTTTTAGCAGATATTTAATCCTGTCTTTTGACTTCCTTGGGGAACTAACTGAGCACCTTAGCACCTTATGCATATTTACCATGAACATCATTAATTCTTGGTCAACCAAAAAAAGTAGCCAGTGCAAGAACCAAAAATGAAGACCAATAAGACCTTAGTAAAACCTTATATATGTTAGGCTTTGACTAAAACAGATACATAGCCAGTCATCTTCAGATGTTTTTATGACAAGATTAACATTAAAAATCATTTTAATACCTCCTCTTGCTTAGTATGTATACTGTACACATGCATAAAATATATAATAAAAAATATGGGAGGAAATCTCAAATCAAATTATCAGCAGTTTGAATATTTACGTGTTATAAACAAGTTTTAGTTGGTTAAAGATGGTTAAAAAATAGTTTAGAAATTAGACAAACTCTACTTAGAACTTATTTCATCTATTCAGAGGTGAAATTAAGTAATTTCCCTGGATTCTACCATATCTTGAACAATTACTACTCTGCCAAACAAAAACTGAGAAAGCCCACATGACATCTACTTGAATTTCCATGATATCACTGTTCTCACTATCAAACAGTTCAACAAATTCTACAACTGAGAAAAAGACCAAACCATATAGTTCAAAAGCTTCAGATAACTTTTTGGTAGAATATTTAAACTCACACAAATGCCTCCCCATATTATCTTACTGCTTGAAAACACGTTTATTTTATAATTAACTTAGTTCAAAGTATTCTTATAACACATGCAATGAAATGCCTAGAAGGTAATGAGCATCATTGTGGAACTGAATCATTATGTACTGCATATCCTTGATGATGCAACTAGAAGTTTAGATTTTGTTCAGATGACCTTTATGGCAAGTGTAGCTAGAGTTTTCCTGCCTGGCCCACAGTCAGGACAAATCTCTCTCACCTGCCAGTCCCACAGCCGCTCAGACCCAACCAAGTAAACACAGAGACTTATATTGGTTACAAACTGTGTGGCCATGGCAGGCTTCTTGCTAACTGTTCTTACAGCTTAAATTAATCCATTTCCATTAATCTATACCTTGCCACATGGCTCGTGGCTTACCAGCATCTTCACATGCTGTTTGTCATCGTGGCAGCTGGCAGTGTCTCTCTCAGCCTTCCACTTCCCAGCTTTATTCTCCTCCTTGTCCCGCCTATACTTCCTGCCTGGCCACTGGCCAATTAGTGATTTATTTATTGACTAATCAGCAACACATTTGCCATACAGAACATCCCACAGCAGGCAAGAGCTTTGGCAGTTGATGTGTGAGGGTCTTGTCCTTACACCCATCAGGAAGAAGAAACAACAGAAGATGAAGCAAGAAAGATTGTTGGGTTTCTTGCTTACATAACTGAGATTATTCGTGTCTCCAATTGAAATAGGGGATGTGGGAGAGACGTAGGTCCTGGAAGTAAGGAAAAGTGGGATTCAAATTTAGATGCTAAGCTTGCTATGGTCATGAGAAATTTGATTACAGGGAGCCTGTCACAGTTGTATGTATTCATTTTCATTTGGACTTTAAGCACTAATAGTCTAAAGCAGTGATTCTCAACCTGTGAGTCGTGACCCCTTTGGGGGATCACATATCAGATATCCTGCATATCAGATGTTTACATTGTGGTTCACAACAGTAGAAAAATTACAGTTAGAAGTTGCAATAAAAATAATTTTATCTTTCCAAGTCTGTGAAGAATTGTATTGGGATTTTGATGGGGATTGCATTGAATCTGTATATTGTTTTTGGTAAGATGGCCATTTTTACTATGTTAATCCTACCTATCCATGAGCATGGGAGATCCTTCCATTTTCTGATATCTTCTTCAATTTCTTTCTTTAGAGATTTAAAGTTCTTATCAAACAGGCCCTTCATTGTTTAGTTAGTGTAATCCCAAGGTATTTTATATTATTTGTGGCTATTGTAAAGGGTGATGCTTCTCTGACTTCTTTCTCAGCCCTTTTATCATTTGTGTATAGGAAGGCTACTGATTTTTTTGAGTTGATCTTGTATCCTGCCACTTTACTGAAGGATATCAGCTATAGGAGTTCCCTGGTAAATTTTTATGTATACTATCATGTCATCTGCAAATAGTGAAAGTTTGACTTCTTCCTTTCCAATTTGTATCCCCCTGATCTCCTTTTGTTGTCTTGCTAGAACTTCAAAGAATATATTCTTCACAGACTTGGAAAGAAAAATACTCAACTTCATATGGAAAAACAAAAGACTCAGGATAGCTAAAAGAATCCTGTATAATAAAGCAACCTCTGGAGGCATCACCATCCCTGACCTCAAGCTCTACTATAGAGCTATAGTAATAAAAACAGCTTGGTACTGGCATAAAAACTGACATACAGACCAATGGAATTGAAATGAAGACCTTGACATTAGTCCATGCACATATGAACACCTGATTTTTGACAAAGAAGCCAGAACTATACAATGGAAAAAAGAAAGTATCTTCAACAAATGGTGCTGGCATAACTGGATGTCAATATGTAAAAAATTAAAGATAGATCCATATCTGTCACCATGCACAAAACTCAAGTCCAAGTGGATCAAAGACCTTAACATAAATCCAGTTAAACTAAACTTAATAGAAGAGAAAGTAGGAAGTACTCTTGAACGCATTGGCACAGGAGACCACTTCCTAAAAATAACACCAGCAGCACAAGACACTGAGAACAACAATTAATAAATGGGACCTCTTGAAACTGAGAAGCTTTTGTAGGGCAAAAGACACAGTCAATAAGACAAAAAGACAGTCTACAGAATGAGAAAAGATCTTCACCAACCCCACATCTGACAGAGGACTGATCTCCACAGTATATAAAGAACTCAAGAGCTGGGCAGTGGTGGCACATGCCTTTAATCCCATCACTCAGGAGGCAGAGGCAGGCAGATCTCTGTGAGTTTGAGGCCAGCCTGGTCTACAAAGCGAGTTCCAGGAAAGGCGCAAAGCTACACAGAGAAACCCTGTCTCAAAAAACCAAAAAAAAAAAAAAAAAAAAAAAAAAAAAAAAACAAAAAACAAAAAACAAAAAACAAACAAACTCAAGAAACTAGACATCAAAATACTGAACAATCCAATTAAAAAGTTGGCTAAAGAGCTAAATAGAGAATTCTCAAAAGAAGAATCTCAAATGGCTGAAAGACATTTAAAGAAATGCTCAGCGTCCTTAATCATCAGAGAAATGCAAATCAAAATGACCCTTGAGATACCACCTTACACCTGTCAGAATGGCTATGATCAAAAACACTGATGACAGTCTATGTTGGAGAGGATGTGGAGCAAGGGGAACACTCCTCCACTGTTGGTGGGAGTGCAAACTGTACAACCACTGTGGAAATCAGTATGGTGGTTTCTCAGAAAATTGGGAATAGATCTACCTCAAGACCCAGCCATACCACTCTTGGGCATATACTCAAGGAATGCTCAATCATGCCACAAAGGTACATCCTCAACTATGTTCATAGCAGCACTATTCGTAATAGCCAGAATCTAGAAACAACCTAGATGCCCGTCAACTGAAGAATGGATTAAGAAAATGTGGTACATATACACAATGGAGTACTACCCAGCAGAGAAAAACAATGACAGCATGAAATTTGCAGGCAAATGGATGGAACTAGAAAATATCATCCTGAGTGAGGTAACCCAAACCCAGAAGGACAAACATGGTATGTACTCACTCATAAGTGGATACTAGATATAAAGCAAAGAACAATCAGACTGCATCCCACAGAACCACGGAGGCTATATAGCAGGGGGGACCCTAGGATGACTGTGGCTTATAATAAGTTTTGGTTTTACTCAATTATTGGGAAAGCCTCGGTGAAACATTTCACTATTAGGATAAGAATTTGTACTGTATCAAGCTGATAATAGATAAATAAATAAGTTTGGGGATTTAGCTCAGTGGTAGAGCACTTGCCTAGCAAGTGCAAGGCCCTGAATTTGGTCCTCAGCTCCGGTGGCGGGGGAGGGGGGCTGGGGCCGGGGGAATAAATAAATAAAAAATTTTAAAAAATTTAAAAAAGAAAAAATAATAATTTTATCATTGGGGGTCACCACAATATGAGGAATTGTATTACAGGGTCTCTGTATTAGGAAGATTGAGAACCACTGGGCTAGAAGAATAAAGTTGAGTACCCTCAGAAAATAGAGGAGACTGCTACTTTTGGTATTATTTGCTCTCAAAAATTCTTGCAGATTTGCTCAATTTGGTATAAATGAAATGAGAGTAGTGAATAAAAAAATATTTCATCTCACATATGGTTTATAAACTCAAGCTGAAATAACAATTCTTATGTCTTTCGTGGAAAATTTTCTAGAATGGATAATTCCTTTCTGACCTACTTAAAATAAAGTTCTTACAATATTTTTGATGGTTCTGTTCGGAGGTTCTGTATACATTGTTATTTGCTAGCCAAAAGTACTTCATTTTAAGGATAATTAAGTCTCATAAAGAACGTTTAAAATCATAGGACTAGCTTAGACAAACTATTGTGTATGTATGTTCACAGCTTTCATAATATTATGCTAATAAACTAATACTTTTATTAACAGTGCACCCTCCTCTCACAGCCACCCCATCGCTTCCTTTTCTGTCACTCTCCATCTCTGTAACCATCTTTTTCTCTGGCAAATAAGCAATTAAGTAGGTATCTGATAAACAATGAATAATAAGTTAAGGGGAAATAAGCAGTGTGGATTTCTAATATGTCATGTGCTGTTTTGAACATGGACTTTTGAAAATACTTTCTATGTTCTTTAAAGGCTGCTTCCTCTGTGTAGCCATTACATGTTAAACACCGTTAACCAACAACTAAGTGCTGAAACTCTGAGCATTATGTCAGCTCGCAAACATTTTTCAGATTCCAGCACTTTCTGGATCTCACATCTTCAAATTAGCGCTGCTTGGTGATTAAAGCATGTAAATACTCCAAATTCCAAAAAGATCATAAACTTTAAATAATTTAATAATATATATTATTATATACTAATGTTAGTATATAATAATTATTCTAGTTCCAAGCATTTCTAATAAGACACTCAGCTTCCAGCTGTCTCCTTCACCATGTCAATCATACAAATAGAATATATATCTCATTATCACACCTTACCACCATCATATAGATGATCATAATTCTCTAAAGTTTTGAAGTGTTGACAATATTCTAGTGGCACTTTAAAGAATACTTAAAGAACAATATTCTTATAATGGACACTTATCTTAAAATAATTAAAATATGCCTGTCCTAAAATTGTCATTTGTGATGGAGGTGAGTGGCGCTTGTCTATAGTCCCACCTGCTGGGAGGCTGAGGTGGAAAGATGGCCTGAATCCAAGAGAGCACAGAACAGCAAAGTGAGACTGTCTCAAGATGGGGGGAAAGAAATTATTTGTTCACATCTCAAGAATATAGTCATGTAAAGTACACTTGTGCTGAAAGCTAGCCTAGAAGAGGCAGGGAAACTTCTAGTGCAGTTAGTTATGCAGTTGATTCTCTTATTGATCAGAAAGACATAGGTTGGTGTCCAGTTAGGACAGAAAAGGAAGATGAAGGATTAAAAGTAACTTCAATATTTCGACTAAATTTCTCTTCTTTTAAAGCCTTTTCGCACTAAATATAAGATGTTACAGGCTGGAAATGAAAGTAAGTGGTAGAGTGCTTGCCCTGGGGTTATATCCCCAGCATTTCATAAAGAAAAGTCAGGTCAGGCAGGGCAGATAAAGCCCCATAACCCAAGCACTAAGGAGGCAGAGGTAGAAGGATGGTTAAGTTCCGGGCCACCTGAGGCTGGCTTCATAGCAAGACCAAGTCTGTAAAAGCCAAAATTAGGTAATCGAGATAATTCAGGGTTTTGTATCAGGATGGTTGCAGCCAATGCAGGGTTGAAAACTTAGCAGCTGGACACCCAAATGTTCTCAGTTGCCCAGTTTGCTCAATCTGTGTAGATTTTTTTTGTGTGCGCATGTTTGTGTGTGTGCATTCGTGTGCCTGGCTTATTCCTAACACCCGTGGGTCCTAGGGATTAGACTCAGGCCATCTCATCAGCCCATACATTTTAATTTTTCGGGTGGGGGGAGGCTAGGCTGGTTAGGACCACTACACCTTCATCCCTACACCATTTAAGAGAGGACTTCCTTTATAAATCAATGGATGAAACTACATTTTGGGAGCTCATAGAGAAGATTGGGGTTCTAGAAAGGCATCTGTGTCCCATTCACCATGGGTTGTTTTACTTGCTGTATTCTACTAAAATAAATATATATCTACTAAGGAAAGGCAAATGGAGGGGACAGGAATTGACTAAGGCGCATCTTGTTATTGGTTCTTTAACTTTTCCTTGTGCATAGGGAAAAAAGGTCATTTTTGTTTTCGGTTAAAAGTAAAAAATGTACTAACATGTTACTATGACACAACTATAAATGGTGCTAACAATGTATGTGTAAATGTATGTACACCTATGTGTATATTCCATATGTACCTACATACCACTTTGTAGTGTCATGTTTATATTTAAGAGAATGGCAAGATTCAGGCTATAGTTAAATCAAAATCTGAAGAAACCACACTAAAATGGCACTTCAGTTTAATATAAATGATAAATCCTGTGTCATAGATCACCACAGCTCACCATATTTAGATGACAGATGCTTACTAAAGATTTCTAGGGAAGTTTTAGGTGTGTAAACTTAACATATGCAAAAAATAAAGACCCATATTTGTTAGTAAAAATTTTTCCTCTCAAAATTGACTCTACATTATATAAGACTAGGCTTTTAACTGATATTAATTGGGTTATAGGCCAAGACTTTGACAAGAAAGGAAGAAATCTCAGTTCTTCATGAGTTCTGCCATGGACGTACAACACAGTCTTGGTGAAAATGGATTCTCCTTGGTATGCAAATTGAACAGAGATAATCTTGTGGTTATTGCTGGGTACACAGGTCTTCTGAAAATAATTAGTATATTTGGCTTACATTTTCACAATTCATGAATTACAATGATAGGATTTATTTATTTAGTTTTTTTTCTTCTTCCTGATACAGGGTTTCTCTGTGTATCTCTGGCTGTCCTGGAACTTGCTCTGTAGACCAGGCTGGGCTCTAACTCAAGAGATCTGTCTGCCTCTGCCTCCCAAGTGCTGGGATTAAAGGCATACACCACCACTGCCTGGTAATACATTTTAAAAAATATTTGTGAATACAACTATACTTTTCTTTGTTTTGCCAGTTTTACTGCCTGTAAAATTATTCTGGAACAGGTAAAACTGTCTAAATCCCTAACAGTTTTCTTCCTTTAGTGTGTGCCTCACCTCACTATTAACTTTGGGAACCAACATTCCTCCTGTCTCTCTCTGGAGTGTTAGCATTTTATTTAGCTGTGAGGAGCTCCTCATCAGCTGCCTAACAAAGGCCCAGAGCAATCTCTCCACACTTACAGTGTTTTAAGACCACAGAAAGTTATCTTATCATAACATTTGTCAAAGAAGTTATCTGTATTGTTAAACATACTTTGAAAATAAAGACAACTCCACACACTTCTGACTCTTACACTTCTCAGTAAAATCCCAAGTCTTTCATTGAAACTCTCCACATAAAACATTTTACATGGCTTAGTAGCCAATGTTAACAGTAACAAAATGAATTATCTTGTTCTCTGTGGTGGTATTTTACTTATACTGAAATGTGATTTTATTTGTATGTTAATAAATAAAGTTGTCTGGGGGTCAGAGCTATTAGAGTCATAGCAAGTGCGTGGCGGCGGTGGCTCACGCCTTTAAGGACCTGGAGGGCGGTACATTCAGGCAGTGACGAGGCAGTCACATGTTTGGGTTTACAACCAATGAGACGGCAGAACAGGAAGACTTTAAAGACAGACACACAGGAAGTAGGTCTTTTTGGAGAGCTCTCTTGGCTGGAGAGGATCCCTGAATCAGGAAGGGTGAGGCTCTTAGCTCTGACCTCTTGACTTTCTTCTCTGAATTGGCTCTGTGTTTCTTATTTTATAAGACCGTTGGTTACATCTACAGTTCTCCAGGACAGATTCCCAACACTTTCCTAGCCACAGGTGTACTTAAGAGGTGCCATCTTTGAGTGGAAACTTCATCAAGGAATTCCCAAGTAGTAAGATTCCTCATTGGTGATTTAATAAAGACATCCACAAGCCAAATTTGAGCTGTTTTAATTAGAAAGTTTTACACATAAATTCCCCAGTTATTTGGTTACTCTAAATGACCAAAATAATGTGCAACATACCACAATAGTTAAAAATTTAACCAGTAGTTAAAAATCTTACAGAGACCTACAGTCATGCAAAAACCATACTTTCTTACTGCTATATGCCATGGGATTATAATTTCCATAGGCCATATCTCATGATTTTTGTTACATTTATACACCAGACAAGCCACAATAAAGAAAACAATGCTTAAAACATTTATTATAAAAGTGTGCTTTATTATAAGGAAATTTTAAATATAACCGACAATACTGAAAATAATGTAACTGGCATTTATAGCCTTGGTTGGAGTTCTTTATTTGACAGGCATTTGTTTACTGTTCCATGAACGTTAACAATTAGCTTATGCAATGCAACAGAAGAGAACTCAGAATAGTGAGTGAATAAAGAACACAGAATGATGAACCAGGAACTTGGGTGGCTTTTTTCTGGTTTTGGAATTTTTCCTTGTTTAACACATGGCTTTTGAAAACATGTTACCTTCATGTAGAGAGAGCTCTTTTTCCTAAAGACAGATTTTGCAAAAATAATATTTTAAAACATGACTAAAGCTATAGTTTACATACTTTAACTTGTTTATGCATTATCCAATTAACATTCTAGCCATGTTTTCATTTACAAGTAGGACTATAAACATTCCCTTATAAGATCACAACAGCCATAGATGAATTGCACATATATAGATCCTCTGTTCCTTAGAACACATTTCCCAAAATGAAATTACCCATTTAAAGGTGAATAACTGGTGAGAATTAGTCTCTAGATATTTGGTCACGGGGCCTGAAAGTCATGTAAAAGTATATTGCTTTGGTTGTACATAACAATTCATCATTATCTGGCATAAAAATAAGCATATAAGTGACCAAAGAAAACCTAATAAAATTTTGTACTTTATGTACTTTTAACTCTGTGTTGACTTTAAAGCTAAGGACAAGGCCTAATGATATGTAGTGTAGACAGAAATTCCATTAATCATTATGTATGGCTTTGCTTATATACAAACTTATTTCCACCACGGTGGTAGTTTTTGAAGGTTGGAAAAGATAAAACACTTGATTGGCTGCTGATCAATGAGCTTGCTGGTTGGTGACAAGGAAGAACAAACAAAAAAAATAAAAATAAAAATAAAACATGGCCATGGGCACAGACATGTGCACAGAGCTGCAGTATTTGGACCATAAAGTGCAAAGCAATATCCCATGGGCATGTGGGTAAGAATCCCAAATGATTTTTTAATAGGAAAGTTTTCCTTTTTCTAAATATAAAATTCAGAACATTCAGAGGACAAAAAAATGTCAGATTAAGTTTAAATAGCTTTTAAAAAATCTTTGTCACATTAAATGTCAAGCAATTTATAAAGAATACAGGGGTTGCAAAATAAAAAAGGAAGCAGTGATACTATATATTTGATGATGAGAAATGCATTTATGGGCTGGGCGGTGGTGGCACACACCTTTAATCCCATCACTCAAGAGGCAGATGCAGGCGTGATCTCTCTGAGTTTGAGGCCAGCATGATCTACAGGGTGAGTTCCAGGACAGCCAGGGTTACACAGCGAAACCTTGTCTTGAGGGGAAAAAAAAGACGACAGAAAAATGCATTTATGCTTTCATCTCAAAAGACTCTTTGCCCAATTATAATGACTAAGTTGCCACGCCTCAAAAGCACTCAATTACGTAGGCTACTCACTGACATTTGTCAAAGAAGTCGAAATGTACTTTATTGCAAAAATATAAAAAATTTTAAAATTGCATATGATGTTTCATACCATTTCACCAATAGGCCAAGGCTAACACACAATTTATCAAGCCAGAAAATGAAATGACTGACATTTTACTGTATGATGAATTACAAAAAGAATGTGATGCCATGCTAGATCGCATGAGTCACTACCAACTTCCCTCTTAAATGGGATAGTCACTAACTTGATATTTGAATAATCCAAACACATATATTGGCCTATGATTACATCTTTTAATTATCTTCTTAAACATGTATGCTTTCAATATATTATAACCATTTGAATAAATCTTTCAGTCAAATAATTTTATAGAATAGAAAGTCATTTTTATGAATATGTTGTTTTTTTTAATGAACTACCCATTAGAAAGTGATGTTAAAGCCTATTGACTATTAAATCACTACTGTTTACTGATACATTGTAAATGATTTTTGTTTAAAAAAGGAAAAACCTGAAATCACAGAAAATGCTTGGCATCTATACAAACACATTCTCAGTGGACTAACCACTAGGCATAACTGTCTCACTAATGCTCTTTCTGCTCTGTACTTTTGCTTCATGCAGTGGGCTCGACAATATCCATGTTTGTTCCAAACAGTGCAACTAATTGTTCTTCATAGGTGGCGATGTTCCTTTTCATAATTTCCATGCAAGGTCCCAAAAGCCTTTCAAATGCTTGCACATCCATGGCTAAGAGAAAAGGAAAAAAATAAATTAAAATACCATTCCTTGCATAACTCAGAAATTCCTAAACTATTCCTTTCTACTATGATATTCTACTATGATTTTACAGTCTTGATATATTAACAATGCAAGAGAATTTTTAGATAGATATTATAAAAATATGAGAGAAAATAAAGGTGAAAATGTTCCACTTCATAAAGGAAACAGGACCTTCTCTGGTTACAGTCTGGGATGCTTTGACAGATGACAGACCTGAGGTGAAGTTGGTGGGAGGTACCTGACCCATGCTGAGGAAATGAAGACCTAACATGGCACGGCCTCAGAGCTTTCAAAAATAAACATACCCCTCCCCCCCAAAAAAAGTGGTACAAGAGCGTTTCTTCCCCTATCTCAGAGTGTACGGTATGCTGTGAAGATTCATACACTTCTATACCATTGTCTATGCAATTCAAAATCATGATCAACATAGTGCTTTTTTCTGTCTCTACCAATCCATGCATCACTTTGCTTGTCTGCCTCATGCATTTTCTATTTTGCATGTTTTGGTTTTGAGACAGCCTGATTATGCAGTTCACACTGACTTTGAATAAACTGGCCTTGAATTTATGATCATCCCACTTCAGGTACTGGAATTACAGACAGGAGACACCAGATCTGGCTGTCTCATGCATTTTAAAATTGAGGTTATAGTATACTGCTTAACATATTAAAATATCTTTGTCAAATTTGCACAGATTAAAAAAGGTAGGGTTTATAAGGCTTTATGGACATTCTTGCATGGTATAGTAGGCACATTAGAAAAAATAAAAGTGGCCTGTATGTATTGAGTCATTAAATAGGCAAATGAACTACTTCTCAAAACAAGTAACCAATAAATACATAAAAACAGCCATCTGAGAAATGCAGATCACGACTACATTGAGATTTCCATCTCACCCCAGTCAAGCAGCCACATCAAGAAACAACAAAAGTTGGAAAGGCCTCGTGAAGAATGGAAGCCTTGTCCACAGGTGATGAGATTACAGGTTAGTGTAGGCACTAGCAAACTGGTATATAAATTCCTTATTAAATAGAACTAGATCCACCATTTTCTCCAGGTGCTACCCTCCTAAGCATGTCTGAAAGATTCAAAGTCAGAAGCATACAATAGAGATATCCACCTGCCTGTGTATATTACAGCACTATTCACAATAGCTAAGTTATGTGATCAGCCTAAGTGTCCATCAACAAATGGAAAAAGTAAATGTATATACACAACGCAGTGTTACTCAGCCATAAAGAAAAATATATTGTAACATTTGCAGAAAAACAAAGCTTGGAAAAAATCACGTTAAGTGAAGCAGACACTGTGTTTTTCTTCAGCTGAAAGTAAAATCTTAAAAAAAAAAAAAGAACAACAATGTAAGTGGAAGGGGGCTATTTGAAAAGTAGAATGGGACCAACAGGGAGAAGGAGAAGGTAATTATGGTGAATATGCAAAGCACATGCTACTCATGAAAATGTTACAACTTTGTACAAGTAATACATACTAATTAAAGAAAAATCATTTTAAAAGACCTAGTCAGAAAACATTTCTAAGGAAAAAGTAAGAATCACCTCTGCATATATATGTATACAAACTAGACCCAAAGCTCATAAAACATTTACCAGTGAGTGATTAGATAATTTATTGTGTATATATTTACCTAATGGAATGTCAAAATTTGATGTACTAATAAAATTCCTATAGTGGAAAACTCATGCAAATCAAACAAAAAGGAATTCTAACAGTGGAAACGTGGGCAGATGGTGAGGACATGGGTGTACCTTAGCTTTCCCTGGGTCTTCTATACTTCCTGTATTTCTCCCGCTGCCTTTAACACAGTTACCACAGAATAAAATAAACAGCCTCTCTCACGTCACCTTTATCTTACAGTCAACAGCCATGAGGAGAATTGGTCAGTTTTGTCTTGTCTTTCATCAAAGTATCATTTTAATAATATTGCACTTACTGAAAACCTTTTACAAAGTGACTCTGTAAAGAATTAATTCTGACAAGCCTTGCCAATCTTAAAAATCACTGAAACTAACTTACCTTTTTGAATTGTGAGGAACATGTAGAGGATAATTATTGTTGGATCAATTTTTTAAATGTCATTTATGTTACTCTTTTCTGAACTATGTTCTCACTAAGTGAGTGATTTCTCAGACACAAAATCTCTGTATATACCAACTGAAAGTGGCATTTCTGCTGAGCTCCCTGGTAGAATGAAGCCATAACAAGCTGAATAACAGCAATTGATTATGCTCCAACAGACCTGAACCCCATCCCGGCGGGAGGATGACTGCAGTTTTCACTGACATTCCAACTTCCCAGCAGAGCTTAATGATGAACTTCACAAAAGGTGCCATTTTAGCCTTCTCTTTTGAGGGACACAACACATGGCATTTTCTTGACAGATTAAATATAAAATTTGTTAACTGGGAGTTCTTATTTCAATAATTAAAGTGAGTCCAAACCTTGGTCCTATTTTGTGAGGACTTTAGCACTTGTGAATCCAATACAATGCCCCATATGGCTTGAGTGCCTGGAGTACAAACATAACCAGACCCACCACTGTGACCCACCTAAACATTTGACAGTCCCAATGGCGTGTGCAGACGCTGCTCGTGGTTTGTTAGTGACCAGGGCAAGCTCCCCAAAGTACTGTCCCCGAAAACACCGAGCAATTTCCACGGCACCATTCTCTTCCACTTCTGATTTACCCTGAGAAGGTAATTGAAATGAGTTACATTTAAGTCTAACATCATTAAAAAATCTATTATTTTCCTTGCTAATATGAGGAATTTTAGGACTGATAAAAGTTTACCTTTCTTTTCATAGTAATTTTCACTTCTCCAGATTCTACAATGAAAAAAGAATCTGCCAAATCTCCCTATTAAAAGAAAACAAAAATGTAGAGTGAAAATGAAAATTCCATAGCAACCCTGAAATTGTGCCCCTGAAACCAGCTTACAGATTCCAGTCTGTAAGTAAAGTCATACTGAAGAGACTATTTCATCTTCCATGTTCAGAAGTTACAACTGATAATTATGTAACAACACTTTTATTTGTAAAAACATTTGAAATAATGTTTTTGCAGTCTCTACCAGAAAATATGGCAAATAACCTGGGCTAGGTCGTTTGTATTAGGACTCTTGCCCTGAATTTTGTGCTGAACCATACCCACAGAAGGAGCACGGCTGTGTATCCTGGCAGTACCTTCCACCAGCAGCTCTGTCAGTACATTCTGTGCTCCCTGGAAAGCAGCAACATGCTCCCTGTGCCCACTAAAGTAACCCTCATTAGCACAGTGACCCGCCAGGAGCAGACAGAACCTGGGAGCATTCAGAGGCAATGGATGCTGGCTTTGGGATGCCCACAGCCAGTGGACTTCCAGGCTCTGAAAAGACTGCTAGACTGAAAAGTTTAATGCCATGTCTAACTAAAAACCCAGTATTTCTAGATTTTGCACAAACTCTTGATTTCTAATGCTGCCCCCTCAAAATATTATAATAAATTAATAGTATTATGGAAGATTTTTGTTCACTGTTTAAGATCCTTCCGGTGAATCCAGAGAAACACAAATATTTGAAAACCTCTTTGGTACAATTTTTAAACTTGGCATGAGATGGTATCACAACCAACATACTAAGGGCCTGACTTTTACCTTTATCTCTAGGACCTCAAACAAAACCACAGATTATATCAC